ACTTTAAATCACATAATTTTTTCCATGGAAATTTAATTATAGGTTCAAGTGTGCCATGAGATAAAGGTAGAAAAACACTAGTCTAGACCCTGAGCAATCCTTAGTTCTAAGTTATGCTGCTGTGATAAACAGGGTATACCACAGGTAACCATAGAAAATACATAATACCATAGAAAATACCAAAAGATGAGTCTGGCTATCGGAGCCAGACTCATCTTTTGGTATTTTCTGGTCATACTGTCTCCGATAGAACAATGTGTACTGATATTGGGGAGTCAATATTAAAAATTGTTCTTTTTCGTGTTACATAGGTAAGCAAAACTTGCACTTAATTAAAAAGGATGACAATGGCAGTGAGAAAAATATTAAAGTATTTATGTGCTTGCTTGCCTTAATATGCCTGTTTAAACTTTATCTATGACTACAGAGAAACCTCGGTTAGTTAACTACCAAATCATTTAACAAACTTTTATTTTGCAAAAATTTTGTCTTGGATAACAGACAAAATTTAGATAATGAACGTAATGGTTTTTTGTGTCAAATTTCAGTTGCTGTTAGGGTGTGCGCAAGGTAAGCATTGCTTTTCCAAGTGTTTGTGTTAAATTTCTTTTTACAGTTTTGTGATTTATATATTTAATCAATATGGCACCCAAGAAAGAGAAACGTGATAGTGGCATAGAAAACGTTTTAGCATAGCATTAAAGAAAGAAATTGCAAAACATGAATGTCATTCTCATGTTTCTGACATTGCTAAAGAATATAATGTGGCAAAATCTCTACAATTATTAAAAACAAAGAAGCATTTAAGACTGCTGAAGTGGCTAAAGGAGTGATTGTGATATCAAAACAAAAATCTAAAGTTTTAGAGGAAGTTGAAAAACTGCTGCTAATATGGATCAATGAAAAGCAACTTGCTGGACAGTCTAGTGAAGCTATAATTTGTGAAAAGGCTAAAAATTTACACAGTGACTTGTTGACCCAGACATCCAGTACAAGTGCAGGTGGCAGAACTTTAAAGCAAGCCAAGGGTGGTTTGATAGGTTTTGTCGACGAAGTGACATTCACAGTGTTATAAAGCATGGGAGGCTTCAAGTTCAGATGAAAAAGCATTTGTGGATGAATTCAGAGAGTTTGTAAAAAGTGAAGGATACATCTCAAATCAAGTGTTTAATTGCAATGAGACCAGTCTTTTTTGAAAGAAAAAAATGCATAGATGAATGTACATAACCCAAGAAGAGAAAGCACTACCCAGACACAAGCCCATAAAGGACAGGCTCACTCTTTTTATTTTGTGCAATGCAAGTGGAGACCTCAAAATCAAGCCACTCTACAATGCCGAAAATCCCCATGCCTTTAAGAGCAATAATGTGATAAAGTCCAAACTGCCTGTACAATGGAAGGCAAATAGCAAGGCATATGTAACTCAGACTTTATTCATGAATTGGCTCACAGAAGTGTTTGCTCCAACTGTCAAAAATTATCTTCAGCAAATGTTTCTTCCTCTTAGATGTCTTCTCTTAATGGATAATGCTCCAGCACACCCACCAAATTTACAGGAAGTCCAGGATAGTGAGCATGATTTCATCAAGGCCAAATTCCTTCCACCCAACACAACTCCATTACTGCAATCAAAGGATCAGCAAGTAATTTCCAATTTTAAAAAGCTGTATACAAAGGCACTGTTCACCAGATGTTTCCATGTTACCAATGATACCGACTTAACTCTTAGAGCATTCTAAAAGGTGCATTGTATCAACCTTATTGACAAAACCTGGAGGAAACTTTGGCCAACTTGTGTCCCAGAGCAAAACTTTGAGGAATTTGAAGCAGAGAGCTCTCCTGATGTAGTGCATGAAATTGTGTTCATTGGCAAGAGTTTGGGATTTAGAGGTACATGATGCAGACATGGAAGAGTTGATAAAGGACCATTAAAATGAACTAATCACAGAAGATCTGGTTGCCTTGCAGGAAGAGCATTTGTCAGAGCATTTCTTCCCTAACCTTCGAAGAGAAGGTTAGGGAAGAAATCACCAGAGCTGAGATCAAGGAACTTTGCAGCAAATGAAATGATGTGCAGGAATTTATCAAGAAGCACCACCATCCTAACGAAGTTGTGACTAACAGGGTCGTTAATTTAATGAACAACAATCCTATATTGCATTTTAGAAAAGCTTTGATTAATTTAAAAGAATAAGACATTCAACTTTAGATCACTTTCTTGTTCCTTATCAAGAGAGACCTCAACTCGAAGAATCTCCCAATGCACTACTACCTGATATTTAATCCTGAGGAGGATTTACTCTTCCAAGCATTAAGCTCCATACAAATGAAGGTATGTACAGTGCTGTTTTATTAAATAAAATTTACATTTTTCTTCTTGAAACCGTATCATGTTCTATTTCTATTGTTTATCTAACACAATGTAGTGCAACTTAACAATTGCTTGGCTTTCTTTCACCTTTATTCTAGTCAACTAGAATAAAGGTGAAAGAAAGCCAAATGATCGTTAAGTTGCACTATATTGTGTTGGATAAGCAATAAAGTTTACATATTTGTTGCTGTAATGATAGCTACTATATTTTTATCAAAGAAAACTCATTTTAACAAATAAAATTACAAAAGGCTAGAATGGATAAATTGTATTTGCATTAATTGCTTTGTTTAATGAACAGAGTTGTGGAATGGATTAAGCTCTTTAACCAAGATTCCACTGTATATTTTAAACCATACACACTACATTCCATTTTATTTAAGCTTTGTGATATTGCAACAACTAGTTCAGTCACTGAGCAATTTGTACAGCAACTTTATGTAAAAAAAAAGTTCAATGCAATTCTTTCTAGGTGTCAACTCACATCGTGAGTGTACTGTATAGTTAATTGTCAACAGAATACAGACAAGCACACAAGCAATAGTTAAAACCAAAATGAGCACTTTACTACTGTTATATCAAGGATGATGAAATGCTGGTGTAACATTTCATAACTATTACTTAGGTTACTGTACTCAGCAAAAAATATTTTATATCCTACATAATACACTAATCTTATTAATTTCAAAAATTGTAAATTATATGCAATATATAAACTTAATTTTAACTGTTAATTATTACATAATATTAGAAATTTAATTTTAATTAAGAGCATATGTATAATATAAACATTCTGTAATCTTAAATTAAGAAAAGTTTTGCAAAGTAAATTTAACACTTTATTTAGGACAACTGACAAATACAAAAAGCAAATCTCATAAAAAATTTTTTATTTTCTCAATGTTTTATATAAAAAAAATCAAACACCACAACTAAAAAAAAGAGAATTATTTTTTATATACTACAATGATAAAATAGGAAATTGTTTTTGCAACTTTTCATGTACAATAATCACATGTCAATTTATCATTTGTTGCAAATACCATATTTTGATTATTACTAAATTATTAAAAAAAAGTCAACAAAAATATTTTACACAATAGTAATTCAGTATCATTAATATTTAAAATGGATAAGAAAATAATAAACATTCTACTTCCATAAATAAAAATGATCTTTGGTAACACAAACTTTTAAAAAGTTCTAACAAAATCAGTTTATTTTTTTTATGTACAAGGAGTTTTGATGAATGACCCGAATAAAGTGAAATAAAATTTATACAAGGACTACAAGATAAATGCCATGTTTGCATTGGAAATTGCAGTTCCAAAAATTATCACCGATGATAAAATTATCCGGACAAAAATGGCAGTACAAAAATACAAATTATCGACTTAAATAAGCTACGGTACATGCCTGGAATAATTGTGGAACTCGACATTCTCTTATAGAAAAATGAGATATTGTAGCCAATGCAATTTTCAACCAATGTGGTAAGTAAACAGTTACCAAATGTATATATTTATATATTTATATATATAGGTATGTATATGTTTATACAAACATATTTTACACATTATCGGCACGATACACTGCATGATAGGCATTTCTCAGTAATGCATAAGGGAAACAAGATTCTAACAAGTCCATGGTCAAGAAGGGCGATTCTTTGACTATCAAGTCCAGCAGAAGATAAACGGATTCCCGATTACGTATTGCTTCTCTGTCACTCTCCTGCCCTAAACGCAGTAAACTGGATGAAGCCAACTGTAAGTAATTAATTTAAAACATATTTAAAAATGTAATCTTATTGGCAACTAAGAAAAATTTTGAATTGTTGTTAAATAATTTAAATCAATATTTAACAAACATATTAATGGATTATAAAATTAGTTACATTAATCATAAAATTTCTGTTTATTAAGACTTAATTAGAAACTGCAATGCTCACCGCAAGAAATTCTTTTAGTCTTTCTTCAATATCTCCATGCCCACAGATTGTAAACAGAGCTCCAGCAATGCCATTAATAGCTTCTGCCAAGCAATGAATATTATTGGCATGCCCTAATAAACCAATTATAAAAAAATTTACTTAAAACTAAAATCTTTACTTTTTTAACATTTGGAGCTATAATACCGACCTTCTAAAGAGGCTTTATAGTGAGAACCTTCGTTCCGAGCTAATTTCGGTAAAGAAACAGCCACAAATACCATCAGCAGACAAGCAATTTGATACTCGTCTTCACCTAAGTCTAAAAATTATTATTTAATTATTTTCTTTCTCCAAAAGAACAAAAATAGAAAAAATATCATACCACTTTTCTGTGATCTTAAAGATGATACTAATGCAGGATCCACTTTACAATTTAGTCCCGCTGCAGATGCCATTTCGCTTACAATCTATAAAATATAATTTGAGATTTTAAATCACAAAACCTTTTCAATACAATTTAAACATCTTACTTTTTTACTTTATTTATTTTATAGAATTACTTTCCTTTTAAGAGAACAAATTACAAGAAGAAATGAGAGGCAAATAATCATTAAACTTAAGTATGTTACTATATAACTGGATTGCTGTATATTAGATCTCTATGTAATACGTCTCTGTAATCCAACAAATGGTAAACGGACTCTCAGCAAATTTTCAGTTAGGATTGATTAAAAGAAAGGTGCTAAGGTTTTAACTTGGTTTTTTGTAAATTATTGTTCATAAACTGTTTATATCACTATATATTTTAACAGTAAGTAATATATGTTGTTTTTATACACCATTATTAATTCTACAAAATAGTCATTAAAAAGTTGTTTTTAGTAATGAGGTTATCCGGTGGTATTAAACACTTCAAGTGCTCTTTGAACTTGTACAATACCTCTACGATGTGTTGGTGTCCCATGCACAATTTTTTTATCTTTAAGAGTAAGTGTGTAAGAAAAAATTTTTTCTGTTAGTATATTTGTTGTCATGAACTGACTATTTTCGTTTTTATTATTTTTAAAAATTAGCACTGAGGAGGGGTTGGGATGTACTGAGCCAACCTGAAATGCATATGTCAATTTTGAGAATAAAATTGTAGTTCCTAACTGAAAATTTGGAGTGAGTCTGTCTGCTGTTTGTTGGATTACAGAGACATATTACATATAGAATTAATTATGTTATCATAAAATGCTTAAAATAATGAAAATAAAACAATATTTACAATTAGAATAAGACAAATTCTAAAACATACACCATAATTTTTCAACCCATGATTTTGAACTAAAATCTTACAGAAAAGCATTAATGCTTTTGTTTAAATTGCATCTGCTTTAAATATGAATGTTCTAAACACATCAAATTATATTAAATGATAGGGAAAGATGAGTAAAATTAATTTCTCAAATTTAAAATTTATCCAATGACAATTTGATGCATTTTATGATGGAAAATAATCAATTTATGATGGATACCTCAACATTCAGTAACTTTCTACCTTTTTAAGAAACATCTATTTACTTTAATCTTAATGTTTTACAAGAATTAAAAATAAATAAAAACAAATTTGTATTTCAAGTAATGAATATATTAATTATATTCAATCTTTTCAGGTTGCCAAATATGATTCATTGTTGAAATATAAGCACTTATATAACCCATGTAATCCCCATTTAGTTTGGTTTTAATCTAAGAATTAAGTTTATAAGTGCTTCTAATTAAATGTGAAGTCCCACAACTCTTTGGTCAGAGTGTTGCTGGAAGAAAAGAATAATTAATTTAGATGTATCAAGAGATGATATGTAATGCCTACCTCTAGGCCAAACTACTTCACATTTAATTAGTAATTAGTAGCACTAATATAGCCCAATGTAATCTGGCAATTGTTTGGCTTTCATCAGTTAAAAATTAATAATAGATGGATGTAAAAAGTCAAAAAATTACACATGTGTATATATATTGGACTTTTTCTTTATCACACTTATTGCAATTTTTTCATAATTATTCATTTTCATATTAGATTTTTTCATAATATATATTAAAATTGCAATAAGTGTGAAAAAGAATATATATATTTTTCACGCTTATTGCAATTTTAGTAAATTTACTTCATTTTATTACATTTTTTTCTCTTGTATTAATTAATACATGTGCCACATTCTAAGTACTTAGACAAACCTTAAATGATATAGTCAACTACTCATATAGGCTATATGTAGTGCAATGATTGTATTTATGTATTTAAATATAGACATGGTACAGGCAGCCATGCAGTGACATTTGATGATAGAGAAGCTGTACCAGCCCTGGATAGAATCATTGGAAATGTCATATGATATTTTGGTGTGTAGCATCCACCAGCTAAACCACATGAGGTTGGTGCTCTGTAAAGTGCATTTGTGCAAGCACTTTACAGAGCACCAACCTCACGCATATAATCTGGCTGCTTTACACGATTCAAATATTTATCCATGGAAGCTATCCCGTATTTGTCAATACAGCACTTCCAATGTGAATATGTATATACAAATTCATGTGTACAGAAATTTGTAATAAAATATTAATTTTAATTAATTGAAAGTATCTTATTATAACCACATTATGTATGTTAAAATATGAAAATAATTGGTACTCTGTGCTTAATGGGACACCAGTCATTTTTAGTGAAGTCGATATTTTATTTCATAATTCACGCATGTTTAATATTACAATGTATGTGAAATTAAACATCATGTTTTCTAAAACTAGATTGAAAATTGAATGGTGCCCAGTTAACAGAAAAGTACCTACAATTTAATAAAAATTAAATCTAATATTATATAATGTAAACACAAATTGGATTAAATCAGTCGACTGGTACCAAATAATTGCACAACATGTATTTATATTTTAGAACACACAAGGGAAGTGGTGCTTCCACAGCTTCCATGGATGCCACTGCAGCTATGAATTTTTCAGATTTGTAATAGTCTGTCATAAAGTGACATATGACTGTATTCCATTGCCTTTCTGTTTGTGATAAAACAATAAACACAACTATTTTTAAATACGCCCGTTTTCAATCAAAACGAATACAAAATTAAATGCTGTAACATAAAAATAATAAAATATATAGAAACATTACTTATTATTAGCAGATAAATAATATAGAATTGTTGAAGGCAGAAAATAATTGCACAAGAATTCATTATCATTATATTGATAAACTAGCAACGTGTGCCTGGAGTTGAAAGAGGGGATAAAAAAGATGGTCCTAGCAATTAAAATATGCATTTATAATCATTCTTATCTCATTACATAACTTTGATGGATCCAAATTTTGCAAAACCATTACTAGTGCTCCAACCTTTATCTCTAGGTTAGGAGTTTAAAAATTCCACCAGATACACAACATAAAATTCCATTGATTTTTGAGGCAGATCAGACAGGAATGTAAGTCATGCTTGGATATGCAAATTCAGTTCAGCAAAGCATTTGTTTTTAGATGCCAACATTGCTTTCTTGTATATCCATTTGTCGTTTATGTAGTAAGTGTTATCAAATTAGTATCCAGATCTTCAGTGACTTTGCCATCACCGAGAGACAAAAGTTATTTAGCAAAATTCTCTGCAGAGTCCATGGATTGAGAAACAGATTATGTTAATAAGTTGTGCCTTTAGGCAGGCAAACTAACAACAATCGGCATTTATTTATGATTTTTGCCAACTGATGGTGCTACATGTAAAGGCAGCAAGTTGGATGCAGATGCTACATACTAACCAATAATTCGGGATAATATAGATTAGTGTCGGTTCTAGGGTCTAAGTAATACTCGTACAAACTTTGGTCCAGAAAGGTTTAAGAATAGAGATTTGTATAAAAGACAAAAACAATAAGCATTTAATCTAATTATTTTTCAATATTAACTATTCATAAAAAACTGCAAACCTCAAACTATGCTGAAATTTCATTTATAGATTGAGACATAAAATACAAATGCTTTTGAACTACATAGGAGGTTAACTATAATGTAATTTACATATTATTATATTAAGGGCTGTACGCTAACACTGATAGATGCAAATTCAACATTAGAAATGGTTTTTTTCTTTTACTCTTTCTGCCCTTGCAGAAAGAGTAAAAGATAATTTGGGAACTAATATGGCCTTTGAACAAGCTCAACCAATCCTTCACCATCCAATCATTGGATGGTGAGGAATGGAGACATGTCCAAGATGGTCCCCAGAGTGGTAGGCTTAATTCTTAGCTGCTCAGCTATCTGGCTACCAACATAAGCACTTTCACCTATTTACTATGCTCTGCATAGGGTTTTCATTTCCTGAGACAAAATTAATTATTTTTAAGATATACAAAATATCTTGAAGTCAAATGATATAAGGTAAACGCACCGGTAGTGGACACTTTAAGGAAAATTTTTCAACTTTTTTGAAACTGGACCCCTATTTGGAAGCCTTATGGCTTAAAAGTTATATTGTCTGTTAGACAAAATCTTTCTTCACTCACTGTAAGGATTTAATTATGTCAGTCTCGTCGAATACATTTTAATTTAATTTATTTTGTAATGTTGAAAATGTTTCAGTAGTGGACATTGAAAAAATTGAGATATTTAGTAATGGACAGGCATTTGCACCAGTAGTGGACAAGGAATATAGAAATGATTATATTCAAGATGAAATCGTTTTTATTTTTCACAACTTGCAGAATTTGACAGTCTTTACTATAAAGAACAAGAACACTGTGTTAATTATAATGACAACTCATAATTTAATTAAATTAATTAAAATATCAAATTGTACAAATGTAAATTACATGTGTATAGTTTGTAATGTTTATATGAAAATTGAACTAATAAGTATTATGAAACATAAATATAAAACATTACAAAGTTAGTATAAGAAACTTTCTTATTTTGTTATTGTTACATTATTCTTAACGAATACAAATGTTGAAATAAATGAGATCAGTTTTAACATACTGGAATGGATTATTGTTACACTCAATATTAAACACTTAAAAATAATAGTATAAAACTGGGTTCTAAGTTACATTTAGGAGAACTCAAATATTAACGTCAGCATAGTTTAAGGAAATATTGTTGCATTGTTAATTTGTGTTGAACTACTTATCTATGTCAATGCCTTTCGAGAATTGACAGTGACTCTCTCTTCCAAAAATTAGAGGCTTAGGAAGCCTCAAGTCAATTTGAGAAATATTTATCGTTTGTACATCTTTTTCATTTTTAGCAAATACGCTTTTCATCCTATTTATGGAATTAAACACAATCACTTCTGCGATATTATCACTGATTAAACTGGTAATTTTGCACACACATTTGTACTTTCTTTTCTTACCAGACAAGGTGGCAACTACAAAATCATTCTCATGCAGGATGTTTGATTCCCTTTCCTTTTCAATGGTATTCCGACTGTGTCTTTCGGACATATCCTTCCTCCGAGTCCAATTTAAAGTCCCTTCAATACTTTCTCCCCTTTCTTCTGTATCTTTCGATTCCTTAATTGCTGAACTTGGTCCAATAGTTTCGTTTGAAGGGGGTTCAATATTTTCCTGAAACTGCATAATGTCGTCTTCTTCTTCTTCATCTTCCATAGTGTCTTCTACATCTAACGTAACATCGTTTGTACTACTACCATCCGAGGGAATCCAAGAACCTTCATCTTCTGATGATGTCTCTTCCTTTCTCATTTTCTTCTTTCGTTGCTTTGTAGTCTTCATTTTCATTTTCATAGCTTTCTCTTCAGCTTTCCTTTTATTCTCAGCAGTCTGTTCTTCCTTCTTTCTCTGTCTTGCCAAAGCTCTCTCCCTTTTCAGTTCTAGTTCCACTATTTTCTTCTTTTCCTTATTTTCATAATATTCCTGCCAAGCTTTTGACGTAACTACAGAAGGTATGATTTCCTTTTTCTTCCTTTTGTTAGTGATTTCCCTGGGTTCTGGCCAGAGAAGTGACCTTTTGAAAGGACTAGGTACTGTTTCAGAGATCTGACTGTTATTGCGGCTATTGTGTGTACTTGTGGCAACAATGGTATTGCCAGTGTTTGAAGTACTAGGTCTTTCATTTTGATAGTGGTAGTCATTATGAATATCATGAATATATGAATCACTGAATGCACTGGTGTTACTGACATCATTTATCTCATGGTTGCGATTGATTTGAGCAGTTTCAACCGTCGAATCTTCATGTTCTGATTCATTATTGTTGAAGGATTTGCTGTTGTTTCCAGCTGTTACTTGATTCATGATGTCTGTCTTCATCTGGTGCCATAAATTGAACAGGGACTTGTCTGTAGCCTCAACATCTTCAGAAGAAACTACAGTCTCAAATAACCCCACTTTCTCAGGTCCCATGTATATTTTTAATGTTTCAAAACCAACTCTTACATCACTTTTCGTGAGAGTACTGTCTGACTTCTTCTTGCACATTATTTTCCTACTTAGCATACCGGGTGCTGTAGGATCCCATGGCACCAAACCATGTTTTGTCCACTATTGAAACACCTCATTTCAATAAACGGACATTCACGGTTTAATAGTGAACACCCCCTGTCCATGACTAGACAGAGTAACCAAAAAATGCTTGAATCAATACTGTATGTTACTTAACATTAGGTGATTTAATTTTTGACTTGATACTGATTAAAAGTGAAAAGTTCATTTTCACTAGTTGTGGCCACCTCTTGTCCACTACTAAAAATATACGATATTTTTGTTTCATTAGTGGACATCTCATTCAATTGACTTGGAAAATAAAAATACTATCAGGAAGGTCTTAAAACATACCAACGAAGCTCATATTAATAGTATATCACCAAAAAACTTCCGTGAAACTAACTGTTAATACAGCAAGCGTGATTTAAATTACCTAGACCTTAAGGAAACAGACAGCAGACTCACTTGTCTTCTTATATCAGCAGGAATGCCATCACTAATGAGCGCGGGAAAACATCCCATGATGCACTAGAAAAGGATCAGTGCGAGTTACCACCACTAGAGGGTTCTGTCTACTGAATGATTTGTATGTTTGAACAGTGAAGCCATCAACAACCTTATTACTCATATTTGAAGTTCAAAGTGTCCACTACTAACGCAGTGTCCACTACCGGTGCGTTTACCTTAATTATTTTTCATTTTTTAAAGTATTTTATGACATTCTGTAACCTCAAAAATCATATTAATAATGCTGTGTAAGATACATATTAAAAATTACCTTTGAATTACATAGAAATTTTCACAAATAGAAAAAATTTATTAAAGTTTGCTGGAAACTGCATACAATAACAACAAAAAAAAATGCTTTGAATTGAGTTAAAAATTAATTTTTTTTAAAGGTTATTAAGAAAATTAACTTAAAAAACGAAAATTACCATTCTAAATAAGATATAAAAATTTACAATATTTTGTATTATAAGATTTTAAAAAGCAAAGATAGTCAATACTCCAATCACTCAATCTAATTCTTATTTTAGTAATGAAAAGTCTTGCTACCGAGAATGCCCTTTCCGATTCAATTGACATGAGTGGAATCATGTTTAATGCATTTAAGAGAAGACAAATATTATGTGTTTTTCACCTGTATCCTGAAAGATTTCTAGTTCGTTTTCAAGATTGTAGTACTTTTTTTGCTCTCTAGTATTCTTGATTTGTCTACCACGACTGCTTTAATAGAAACATCATAGCCCAATAATTTGGCAGTTCGTTTGTCTTTAATAATCAGGTTATGAAGAAAAACTTCATACTTGCAGACTTCGCACCCATTTGTATCCTTGCCCAATTTGGCGTTATGCAGTTTTTGAAGCTACTGGACATGGTTAAAAATTAATAATTATTCCAGATATTAGAGGTAAAGATTTTTGAGAGTCCTGCCACAAATAAGCTACGTATTGATTATTGACCATTTGTGACATGCCATAACAAGCAAAAATTAAAAAAATCTAATAAGTAGGTTTAAAATTAATAAATACAAATATATTCTGACAGTATAATTAACTCATAAACTCTCTATTTGCAAAATTTTCTCAACCTTAAAAATTCACTCTTTTCTTATTCTGTGTTAAGAAATTTGGAGGATTTCCCTGGTTAAAAAAACAACCAGGATCCTGTTTGAGAAACCCTAGTTCTGCATTTGAAGAAAAATAAAATAAAGTGAAATCAAATTTAATTTTGTATAAAATGAAAATAAATTGATAGTTAAACAATTTACAAGTTGAAAAAAAAACACTGGACTCATAGCAAGACTTGTAACCACTTACCTGAAAAATTCTCCAAGTGGTTAAACAACAAGTCTTGCTATGAGTCCAGTGTTTTTTTTTTCAAGTTGCAAATTGTTTAATTATTAATTCAAATTCAATTATCTAAATATTCATTTTTTCAAATGTTACGATGTATCTGTTCTGTCCTAAAATTTTTTTAAAGCTACTTTTAATTATTGTAGCTGTCTGGACCAGAATTTCTCATAAAAGGACTTTCTATGATTGCTAACATTGCAATGAAATATAGTGAATGTCTAATTCTATATTTCTTGAAATTATTGTTCTCTGTATAGTTATATTAATCTGGTAATCTGGCCTTTAATTCAGTATATAATAAAGTTACATATATTTGTATCTAATTATGAGACGTTTATTAGATAAGTTATTCATGCTTCATTCCTCTATTACTAAATAAAGAGTAAATTCAAAATCTTTTTTTCAGTTCTTTCCACTATTTATAAATTATTAATATAACTATAATAACATACTGTTATATCCTACCATAATTTATTTAGAAAATTAACAACAGTTTTTCTGATTTCAGTTTATCCAATATTCTATCTTTTCTTCATTACAAAAACCATATGGATAAAGCTAGTGGCAGCAGCACTGAAATTAGGTACAGCCATTGTGGTTACATGCAGTCACAATGGCTAACATTTGAGAATATCTGGTCTAGAATTTTTTTCTTTAATGCAATATTATGTTTATATTTTAAAATTTCTATTGATTTCAAGTAAAAGTAATAATTATCATCAGATTTTATTTTTAAAAAATAAGCAATTATTTAACATATACATCAGAGATGGCCAAACCTTGTCACAACAGGAGTCATATGCTTATCAAAAATATGCAAGAGCTGCATTATCTATTAGTTCATAAAAATAAATTGTAAGTCCAGAAGAGCCATTTGCAGTAAACAATCTGCAGTTTGGCCACCATGGATATATATATATATATATATAATACTTACTATTTAAACAGACTATTTTTATTCAAAATAAGCATTTATTTTGAAAGAAAAAATTATCATATTATTATATTAAAAAAATAAGATGAAAACTTTAAACAGTTAAATTTTGTAAGAATTAAATTATGTAACCCCATATCCAAAGCAGAATAACCATAGCCATTTTGATTAGTATTGCATTTATTAAATAATGAAGTTGAAAAATTATGGTAGTATATACAGTAAGCATGCAATCATATGTAAATATTAAAAATTTCAAAGATTTGCTAACCTGTAATCTGATATTCTCAAGCTTGAAGTAAATGAAAGAAGATTAAGGTTAATATCATATTTTCAGATTTATACAGTATAGATATTTGATTTATTATATTTAAACTTATAATAATTAATTATCCCAGAAACTGATTTAAGACTTTTCAAACACTTTAATTTTAGAAATTACTTATATTTAAATAAAATTTATACAAGAGCTATAAAATTACAGTAAGTTAACATTATCATACCATAGAATCTCCATTTGGTACATGATGTTTAAAATCAACAATAGAGCTCAATAAGAATGGAATACGATCAGTTAATACCTGGAAAAAAAGACATTTTAATCATCAAAAGACATTTTAATCATCATCAGTCCATATAAAATTCTTATTTAGGAAGTTTATTGTTGCCTGCAGAAATATTTAAATGATTGTATATGTATTGAGAGGTTTATTCAAAAATACATGTGGTACAAATTTGTTTTGATTTAGTTTATGTAACTAAATTTTTCAACTAACTTACATATATACAGTCCTGCAAAGGTTTAAAATAAACCGAATAAAAACTAAATACAGTAGAACCTCCATTATCCGGATTGTTCAAAATAAACAAAAATTTTACGAATTTGCTGATTTGCACTTGGCAAATTACGACACTGTTTATGTATGTGATGGAATGCATAACTTTTTTTGTTTTAACCGGCACAGTGGTCGTAAACTCTTAAAAATATTTTTTATATAGTAATAAAAATATAACTTGACATACGTATTTATAAATCATTTATATTCAAATTACATCATTTCTATGACCAAGGGCGGTGTATGGACAGCTTATGGGCAATGTGGGCCACGTGGGCCACCACTTATGCCTTGTGGTCCGAAGGGCCTCGCGCCTCGAAGGTTTATGCATTACTTAAAAGCCACGAACGTGACAAAAAAATTTTACTCGTCGTAAAACGATAAATAGTTTGTCAAATTTTTATTCATAAAAATGCAGTTTCAAATGCTTTTTATTTTATAAAATCCGTCTTCTTGCGCCACCAGAGGGCCTTTTAAACAATAGATAGTCTGTTAGCGTTGGTCAGTAGTAGTCCAAATGCAATACGAACGTTTGTTTCTTGAAAATTTGATCACGATTTAAATACAGTATTTACTTTTAATATTACCAATATGTCATCGAAAAGAAAATGTGTTGTATTATCATGAAAAGACAAATTAAAGTATTTGTTTCGATTATCCGGATTTTTCCTTATCCAGACTACCTTCATCCCCAATTAGTCCGGATAATCGAGGTTCTACCGTATATCTCATTATAAAATATTCGGACAGTACAGATAATCAGGTTAAAACTGTATTTATATCATCATCAGATGTAACAACCCTAATATAATGTCAAATTTTTATTGGTCCCATGATTTTACTATACAGTAGACACCCCTATAACGAGGCAAAAAATTGCGACAATATATGCGGTAAAACGTCATCGCGGACAAGCAGCCGAACTACTTTCTGCTACGGAGAGTTTATGCGAGTAAGTTGAGTTTACTATCGTCTGTACAGTATGTAAATTAGGTACCGTAAGTCTAATACAGGACTGTAATTTTATACATTTCTTGTGAAAGAAACATCTCTTATTCAATGGCCATAAAAATTATTTCTATTAATGATGTCTCCAAAGTTCAACAAATTTTTCGCAGAAAAATAACATCAGAAATCGCGACCGCCGTTTGGTGTGCTGCTCCACGACTAAAACAAGCTTAAGCAATGGTGACGTCGAATGGTGCACACTCAGTAAGTAATCCTACAATTTTTTGTTTATAGCATAGTTTATACGGATTATTCCCAAAAAATTATACGTGTTTTGGAAATGTTAAGTCGAATTAGTCTAGAATTGATTAATTTTATGGAAGAAAACCTTTCAAACAGCTGTAGTCCCTAAACTTCACACATGTCGGGCTGTGATTGGCTCATGTATTTAAGGATTCCTACAACGCAAAATTTGTATAACGAGGAACGTATCTACCGCGTTATAGGGGGTCTACTGTACTAGATAATGTTAAAAGACCCACTTGTAATGACATAAAACACTCCCAGATTTACAAAATTAGATTATAAATTTTATATAACAAAGAAAATGCAGTACATGTACTACATATTCAGTTTCTAGGGTCAGAGTCCACTTCCTATAGAACGACTGTGGGTGATACTCTCACCACCTGACTTCAGTGGGGTGGGGTGAGGTTCATCATATCTTTAAACGACGTGATGATAGGGTTAGTTCACATAGTTACTTGTTTCATGGTGATATCGTATAATGACATGATTGGCCAATTTGAACTGGTAACAGATGCTGCCGAGGAAAGATCATAGAAGATCATGATTGGTGACACATGCGTATCAAGGAAGAGATGGTTGGTGAAATATCACGCCATGTGGCTGACCTGGAATAGAGCTATGACTAGCATAGCTGTTGATTGGTTGGCCAACAGCTGTCAACGACTATATAAGGTCAATGTGGAAGTGGGAAATTCGAGTTGGACCCGTCTCGCTGACTGAGTTCTAATTTGTTATTGGTGTACCGAACAGTCATCAATTGTGAAGATGTTATAAATTTTAACAATGTTAAGAAACTTCTTAACATATAGGCGTTAGAAAGTACGAATGAATCTCACTAGATCGACAAGCGCTTTCGATGATAATTGCTTCTTCCTTTGCTGAGAAGGTGAAATTCAATTGGCTCCTAGAATCTACAAGAAAGCAGTGCAAGCATTGCAACCAACCTTGTTCTACAATTATACAGAAGAGCAAGTTCCAGTCTCGATTCTCAAGATTATACAAAGAGGACCTAAATTTATCCCTCCATTATGTGGTACCTGCACATCGGATATGATTCTGGCAGTTCTGGCAGCATTGAAGAGCTGTCAAGCCTCAACCAAGTTCCCAAACATGGAACTTTCCATTGTTTCTGTGCTCACTTCTCAAAAGCAATCCATGGTTGCCAGCGGAAATTATGGCAACAGACATCTTGTAAGGCGGTACTTGAAAACGAACAATTTACGGCTCCTGATCTCGGACAAAGAGAAAAGTTTGTTTTATGTAAGGAGGAAGATTTTGTAACCAGGGCCACCGACTTCCTCAGCCATTCCCATGCGGTGCCCTTGCAAACTGATCCAACTTATACCATCCTAAGAAAAGTTAAGAAAATAGTATCTCTTCCAACTATTTCTGCTCTTCCCGGGTGTGTCGAACCCCCGTCCAATGTAGCTTGCTCTTTTTTGAGGTTAAAACCCATAAGGAGGGTTAGCCATTGAGACCATTAGTTAATAAAAGGACCCGTCCAGCCTTCCATATTGAAAAGGCACTGGCCAAGTTATTAAGTTGGCTCCTACCTCCTTCCTTTTTGGTTACCTCTTCTTCCGTTGCGGCGAAGGCCCATATATCTTCTGTCCTAAATGACATTTCACAAAATAAGTATAGTTTCTACAGGTTGGATGTAGTTGCTCTTTACCCCTCGGTACTGCAGTTTGAGGCTGTTATGCTTGCTAATGCGCTACTAATCAAGAAAGACTTTACAGTGCAAGAAGTTTTAGAGTTATGAGAAGCTCTGCTTTTTATTTCCGAAAATAATTATTTTCAGTTCAAGGGCAAAGTATATCTACATCAGCAAGGAGTCCCGATGGGCTCACCACTTTCAGCGGTTTTGGTGGAGTTGATCATGAGGAATATTGAATTCAAGGTTTTTAGCTTTCCCCTCACGATAGCATATCCACTGTTATACCTTAGATACGTTGATGATATTCTTGTAGCTTGGCAGGATACCCATGAAGAATTCCTCGCGACTGTTTATCCCACAATTAATTTTACTTGGGAAAAAGACAATGAAAGGGAAATTGCATTTTTGGATCTAAAAATTATGAAGTTCCGCATACCAGCCACAACATTACATCAATGTGGCAATTGCCCCTTTAATCAGAAGGGCCTTGCTGCTAACGATACTGAGCTTAATGTTATTCGCTCTGTGGTAAATGAGGCAGGCTATACTAATGCCAAGTTTATGTACATCTTAAATAAGATAAAAAGATCACTTTTTCCTGCTACTACACTACAGCTCCCAAAAGAATCCACAATAGTCCTTCCCAGGCTGCTGTATTTTTACGTGACATGTGCTTTTTCTGCCAGTTTCTCCATGGTCAAGTCTTAGGAGGTTGCTATCCAACGACAGAGATCCTACTTCCACACTAGAAAGATTGGGGGGTTGCAACAACCAGAATGTTGTCTTATTGTATTTCAGAACATCAGTGTTCTATCAGGGCAGGCAAGAATGAAACTGAGCTCGCTAGAATGGTGTTGCAACACCAACACACCCTGTTGTGGGGCCAGGTGGTCATACTAAGACATTGTAATAACAGAAGCCTCGTGTATATTTGGGAAGCCCTCCTTACCAACATACTAAATCCGTGCAACGCCCCCACACTTGATTGTCCCCTTTGTGGGTTAACTTGTATAACTGCCTAAGACAATATCTAGCTCCACAATTTGGAGGCTTATAGCACATGCGCATGTTTTTATTTACATTCTTTTTCTTACGTTCTACCGTTGCTTTCGTTCCAAACATTAATACCATTGGAATAATTTGATATTCATATTCAAAAAAAGGGCTTTAACCATTTTTAACGACCTGACGAAGACGAAAATAATTATTGTCTAAAGCACTTGTTGATCTAGTGACATTCATTCATATTTTAACGCCTATATGTTAAGAAGTTTCTCCTATTAAATGATCAGTGTGCTGTCCATTCCTGAATTATTTTAACATTAGACTGCAAAGTAGAAATAATTAACACTTTCCTTTTTAAGCTAGCCATTTCACCTGATTTGTTACTAAACTATTGTACAACACAAGAGGAAAGTGGAAGAGAAAAGGCAGATGTATGCAGAGACTTTGGTTTAGCAAATTCTTTTATATCATTGTAAACTTAGACATAATAATGCAAATAGAGTAGATTTAAACATTTAGTTTGCACTTTTATACATACAACAATAAATTATTATCATCATAACAGATACAGTATAGGTTTTCAGAATGTAAATTTAGATAAAATAAACAAATCCAGAAACAAGGAAAGAATAATTGAGAATGAAATGCATATATTCACTAGCACAAAAGTAAACACATCTTTTTGATGATGTCACATCTAACCATGAACCATCTGAAAACTGTTCACCTTAGCCTATTTGTGATGATCCCTTTCTATTTATATAACATCTGTATCTTTGCCTTCATCAAACCTCTTAGTAAAAATTTAATACAGTATAATTTCATTTAATCATGCTTATATTTCACTTTTTATTAAAAGTACTATTTTAAAATAATTTTTATATATATTTACATTTGCAGATTCTTTTGATGAAATTACAACTTAACCTTCTTCGTGCAAAGAAAACAAATGGAAAATTCTTTTTCCATCTGTTCTCTTTGCATGAAAAAAATTATATAACACTCTTGTAAAAAAAAACAAACATTAATTACTCACGTCATTCAAGGCATCTTGTGCTAGTGTGCGGAAACAAAGAATCACTCCAATAATAGTCATTCTTTGGAGAACATTATCTACATCTACTCAAAGAAAAAATATATATTTTACTATTATAATTATTAAATAAAATATGCTATATTCATCTAATTCTATATAATTGTTGCTGATTTAATTTAAATTAAAAAATTTCTGTTAAACAATTTGATTAAACATTAAAATAATAAATATAACTTGATTACTCAGTTAATTTATGATTAAATAAACAAATGTTCAAATTATATTTATCATAAGTATCCAAAATATCTCAGTTTAATGCTATTTGTAATTAATATTTTACTTATTTTATTAATACTTTCTATCCACTATTCAATAGAATAACTTACTTAACAAAAAGTATTTCCTATGTAGTATTTAATTTAATTGTCAATTAGTAATTTAAAAAATAAAAACATTTGCAAATAATTTCATTATTATTATTTTTATAGATACAGCATAAAGTTTTATCAATATTAGAATATTTCTTATTTAAAAAATTAAATAATAAGTTTCAAAACAAAATATAATTATAAAATCAATGATTATTATATTAAATAGTGTGATAGGACCATTCACATATACAGTATATTAAGTTAGAGAATTATTAATTTTAAGAGAGAAACAAATTTAATCTCAACAAAAACTATTCACACTGATTTACTTTGATATGAAATTTTAATGTAGTACTACAAAAACTATTAAATTCAAAAGAATTTTATTAATTTTTAACAATTTCTTTATTTTCTACAATAGATCAAATTTTCATATAAAGAAATATTTATAGTTTATAATAAAAAATTTATTATATATAATAACTAAACAACAAGAATAAGAATAATTTCCCTTACTTTGGGCCATCTTTGGTCCTATATGCATGAAAGGAAAAAAAAATTCTTGAATGACAGAATGCTAAAAAGAAGAGTTTTAAAGATAACAAGATTCTCTGTTAATCTTTTTCTTAAAAAAAGAACTGTTTAAGAAACCAGGAAAGAAAAAGCAGTTAATACACAATGAAATAAAATTTTTTAATTTAAATATTGCATTCTATACATAATATAATCTTCCCTTAATAACTTAAAACATATCACTTAGTGTTAAATTTTTTTTTGTTCCATCTCATTTTAAACATTTTATAATAACTTCCTTAAAATTATTAATAATCTGTATTGAATAAAAATTTGTAATATTTTTTAAAATCTATATTATTTTAATGGCAAAGTAAGATCATGGCATTCTTTCCCTTTCTTAGCTACAATTAACATCTTAAATAAATAAATGTACCATGTCTGTAAAATGAAATATGTTTTTAAATATGTATTATAATCTAATGAAAATTAAATGTTATAGAAATTAGTCATTTTGATGAAGAAAACTGCTGACAAAAGAAATTTTGCAAATAATTACACATTGTAGACCCAATATAATGATGTTTGATACAATTCAGAATTACTTATAATGTGGTTAATGACTGGAGTCAATTTTATGTCTTTCAAATTTAATAGAAATCTTTATTTTCAGCAACCAAAAAAATTTCACTATAAGATTTCATGTCTTTTTCTTTATGTATTATAGCAATATATACAGTATAAACCCAATATAGTTTAACATAGACTCACTTAATATGCATAATGCAAACTGAATTTTCAGACCTGAGTAATCATATCAAACCTACAATGTATATTTAAAGATTAGAAATCTTCAACTATGAACATTAACAAGGGAACTGTCGGAGTGGCATCTAATAAATTTTAATAAAATTTAGTTAATAGTTACGTTAAAAGTATACAAACTCTATATTAAATTTGTAGTATTCACTAAAAGAGTTAATCAGAGTTATTAGCAATCAAATGTCGTACTATTTTATATGCGGATTTTTAAAAGTGAAAGGGTCGCGGAGGAAGACGGCGATATTACATTTAGAATAAATTCTGGAATTTTCGAAAATGGGAGAAGAATTAATAACATTTAGTTAATAATTATGTTAAAAGTATACAAAATTTTATTAATTCTTCAACCATTTTTGAAAATTCCAAAATTTATTCTTAAATGTAATATCGCCGCCTTCCTCCGCGACCCTTTCACTACTAAAAATCTGCATATTCGTATTAAACTACTATAAAATAGTACGACATTTAATAGTTATTAATCCTGATTAATACTTTTAGTAAGTACTACAGATTTAATATAGAGATTGCATGCTTTTAACATAATTATTAACTAAATGTTATTAATTCTTCTCCCATTTTCGAAAATTCCAGAATTTATTCTAAATGTAATATCGCCGTCTTCCTCCGCGACCCTTTCACTTTTAAAAATCCGCATATAAAATAGTACGACATTTGATCGCTAATAACTCTGATTAACTCTTTTAGTGAATACTACAAATTTAATATAGAGTTTGTATACTTTTAACGTAACTATTAACTAAATTTTATTAAAATTTATTAGATGCCACTCCGACAGTTCCCTTGTAAGATGTGTAATATAGAATATACACTAAAATAATTTCTGTATGATAATTTGTTAATAATAAGTGTATTATATGCTTTAGTAACATTTTGTTTACATCATGTTAGAATATTTTTAAAGAAAATTTCAATGTATTTTGTCCAAACATACAGCTAAGACTAATGTTTGGACAAAATACATTTGAAATTTTCTTTAAGCATGTTCACAGGTATTATTTTCTGCAGTTGCATTTACTGGTAAATTAAAGTTTAGCTGTAACATTATTCCCACTGATATGTTCATATGTAATCCTAAATTGAATGGCAGCCTCCAATTTTATACAAGTAGTGCCATTTACACCATACACAGTCCAGCTTCACTGTATTTGTACCTGTATTTCTGTACTGTACTTTACATATCACTAACAGATGGAAGAAGTGCAGTAATTGGAGGACTTGTAGAAGACAAATCCTCCCTACCAGAAGTTTTGGTAGTTTACATTACTATTACTATTGATACTACACAACTGCTGCCATTAATGATTATGCTGCTGGGGGTAATGTAACAGGTGTTTGAGATGTACTAGTACTAGTTTCAGTAGCCGTAGTAGCATTGGTATCTGAATTATTTGCAGTTAACTATGTTATCTGTCCAGAAAATATTAAACATCTAAAAATGAATAGTAAATAAGATTTCATTCTGCTAGAATATAATTTCATCTTTCCTACATAAACCTTTTTGAACTTATAAATTTGTACAAAAGAACAACAACCACTTTGCATCTTCTCTCTTATCTATATATATATATATAAATAAATGTGTGTGTGTCTGTCCTTCATGCATTACCACACCGTTTATCCAATTACCGTGAAACTTTGGGAAGTTGTTTAATACACTCCCATGAAGGTTTCTGGCATAGTACATTTATCCTACGATAGATGGCGTGCATGTATATGAGCATTTTACTGTGTGTTTGATCGATTTCAAATTGTGAAGACCATTTCCCCCTCCAAAAAATATCTCTATATATGCATTTGTTATTTACGATATTTGTAATAATTTTTGTTTAATCACTTTATTTCAACTTTTTTTTGCTAATTATGTATTCGCTCGAACTTTGTTAAAACCTTAACTGTATCCCAAACAACAACCGAAGTTGTAGAAGGAAATTCGCCTATTTTACTGATCTAGAATCCCCCTTTTCCAAATTTTAATATCATCTCAAAATAATTTAAAAAGACAAATTACAATAAAACAGTTTATTATCCAACTATCAGAAATTTCACAACATGCCAAGGAAGAGAGGAAGGAGCAATTAAATAATCAAAATTATAAAGGATTAAAAAATATATATAAAAATGGGGAATATCGCACTTCTAACAATCTCTGCAAGTATGTGGGCTAAATTTAAAGAATCCGTGCTTCTCACATGTACAAGTATATGTGTGTATGGCCAGCTGATGCGTCAGAAAACCACCTGATTTTTCGTGTACACACCAGACGAAAAAACAAAAAATATTGTGTATCCACAAGCACTCCAATAAATAAATAGAATTGAAACAACACTTTGAAATGTTTTCCCAATGAAAATTAATAATAATAATAAGTTTCAATAAAAATGATAAAATGTAAATTTAATTTTATCATAACGAGTTTGCTTGAATTTTGTTTCTTCTGAGATTGCAGCAATGCGCAATGGGTAAGCTAGTGTGCAATAAAATTGTGGCTAGATATTACCAGATATATGTCTATACCATTGTTAGTTTGCATTAGAATTGTTGTTGTAGAAACAATTGTATCAATATTTTAAAACTTCATCTAAAACAAATCTTAATACGAAATGAAGTTGAAAATATTCACATTTCTTTTTGAATTTCTTATTAAAGGATTTGAATTTTTATATATTCAGAATTTTAATATCTAATATCTAAATTGATTTTTATGAGAAATTATTTACCAAACATTATTCTCTATAAAATACAATTTTTATTAACAAACTTACGTTGTAATCTTCTAAAGAGTTCCCTCATTTGTTCAGGTTTATCATAATTTGATCTCAAAGCTACCAGGATATCTTTGTTTGTGACCACCAATTTCTAATATTAAAATAAAATAATTTTGTCTCATTTATTTTACAGATATTTTAATAACTCAATAATCTCAATGTAAACTTTACTTTTCTTATACTGATAAGTTAACTAATAAATATTGGAATTGACATTTTATCTATTAAATGACTTATCATCTAAATTCCTTATAATAAAATGGGCTTTAGGAAAATTACTTTTTTAATTTCAAAATATAATTTTAGATAAAAAACCAAACTTTTTTATTCTTTTTAAGCCATATAACAAAATAGCCAGAAACAGGAAAGCTAAATAGAATTTAATAAATGACTATTTCTGAGAAAACTAATTCTTATTTTTAGCATATTTGCACAAATTATATTCAAGACATAAAATAAAACTTTGAAAGTTGTTATTTTAACTTTCAAGGCAAGGCTTTTGTTTCATGTTTTTATGTTTTCTGCTAACAGAATATACACTTGTTTCAACTGTCTGGTTTATAAAATGCCACGTTTAATCAATCTTTTAAAAATTATGATAGATAAGAATTCCTATTCAAAATAAATTTTTTTATATTGCAAATCTTCTGATATATTTTAATCAGAAGACTTACAATATAAAAAAATTTATTTTATGATATTTATAGATATCTTAAAATTGTAATTTCTAAAATGTCTGTAGTGTCAAAATGCATTTTGACCAATGAAAAATATATTAAACAAAGGACATTGAATAGTTTACTGTTTTTGTTTACACTACATGTCTAAAATCTGCATCTTTTAAAATTTTAACTGTAACTGAATAATTTTTTTTTTCTATTTTCTTAAAAGTTAATTATATTGAAATTCATTCTGTTTTTTAGAATTATTAATTTAAAATTATTGACAATACAAAATTGAAGGTATTTGAATCAGAATTACAATTTTCTTAAAACCCTTTCAAAAAACTTTTTTAATGTTTTAGTTTCTAAATTATTAAAAATATATAATAAAGTTCAAATTCAAACCTGAGTAAAACAGAATTTTTTAAAGTAAATACCATATTTACTCACATATAAGATGAAGTTTTTATTCATTTTTCACTGCTTCAAATTCCTAGGTCGTCCTACATGTGTGAGTGAAAGATTCTTTGCAAAAATGCAAAGAATGTTTAAAATAATTTTTGTGAACCGTGTATTCACATTTTTTACTAGATGCTTACTCTCTTGTATTTAAAACAAAAGTATTTTATCTAGGTTGTTTGAAACATTCTTGTATATTGTCAGGATTAAAGATGAATAGCAATAGAAATAACAAAGCTTTTGAATTGAAATTCCAAAATTATGTGAGAGCATGATATAAGTTTTAATCCATTCCCACATGAAAACAGATAATTATTCAAAAATCAGAATTCATAGAAACTCTTAAGTGTAATTGATGGAGAGTGGATTTGACTGTTAAGAATTGGCAAAAAAAGGTTCCCGATTGTCCAGCTTTACATGAACAAATTATGTTGTTGATTTTACAAGATTTTTTTCTTGAAGTTTAAAATGCCAGTAATTTTTGCAGGATAATGTGTGCATTTATGTTCATTTGATATTTTACTTGTGATTATATGAAATTAGAATCTAATTTTTTTTTATTTTGGTCTTTAAAGTCACACCTCATCCTATATGTGAGGTCATCTTATATGCGAGCAAATACAGTATATGTGTAAAGGCATAAATACTTACTTCTATCTTAAAATTAGTAAAAAACCTATTACTTGTTCTGGTATACTTATAAATGCACTAATATTTGTTCAGTTTGTTAAATGAAATATTTATATGTATGAAGTAATAACAATCAAAAGACAAAACATTTTTAACATTTTTGAAGGATGTTACATTGTTTATGGTATTTCTAATTATTAATAAAGAACACCAATAAATAATTACTCATCAAAAAAGATGACATTTCATCTTAATATATATTGAATTCCTCACAGCTGAATAAAATAGTCTCATATTGTGAAAATAATGAATGTTATATTTGGATTAAGTGAAAAATGGTAAGCTTTTTAATTTTTCAATAATTGAAAATAAATATTAATTGATTTACCTTCAATTCTGTAACTTGACTAGCAATATGCCACATTAAACTTTCATTTAAATATTTCATTCCATATGGACCAATTAGCTCAGCTAAGGCACGTAACTCTGAAAACAACATAGTTGAAATATTTTAAATATACTTTTTTTTTATAAAAATACGGTACTTTAAAATATATTTTACATTCTTTAACTAACTTTTGTTGAATTATATTATTAATATTGAACAAATTATGATTAAAATTTATTTTATAGCTATTTTCTCTCTCTGGTTTTATACTAAATTTAACATATTGTCAATTTAAAAATTAATGCATCTTGGATTTGTTAATGTACAGCAAAATTCAAATGAGATTCCTCAAGATCTATTCAACTGAGCATTTCAAGACTGAAATACTGATGCAGCATGTTAACCAAAACCCAGAGAAAACAGAGTAAACCCACATAATGACTACACAACCAATTACTGCTTGATTAACAACTCTACATTTTGGTAAATAAATTTGATCACACTGTGGAATAGTAAGCAGTATATGCTAATAGAGTAAAAGAGTAGCTCGTCTCTTCACATATATCAAGCACTTGACTGTTGAACCATTTTTATTCAACAAAATATTTAAAGTCCATAGTAGCTGTTAGCTAAGTTTAAATTTCAAGAATATGATATACAGGTATTCCTCATACTAAACTGTTTCACTCTAACATAGTTGGAAAAACCTCCTTAAAATTTTCGCAATTTTTTAATGTAAACTCCATTATTCGAGTTTTTTTAAATTCAAGCAAGCATGTGTGTTGTCTCAAATTTGCCCATGGATTTTAGAATATTGAAATGTTTAATTTTTTTGTGCCATTCATTAGGTTTACTTTAATAAAATCTGATAGTACAATTTTTTTTCTTCCTTATCCTAGCTTAGCTTTCCTATCAACCAGGTGGTAGTGGTGTTGTTGTTGCTTTCAGACTTTAGCCTTTAACACTGTTACTATGTTTTGTTTTTATAAATTAATCTTCATATTTAATAAAGTTTATTTAAGCATTTTTAGGTGTTACTAAACTTTTTTTAAATGTAGGTAATTAATCATTTATAAAATGACAAATGAAATACAGCAGTATCTCAGTACTCAGACAATTTTGTATTCAAACACAAATTCTGGAAAAAAATTGCTTGGTACTTGACTGAACAAATGCAGCCCACTAGAATAAATTTTCAATTAATAAAATATTTTATTTTTTTCATCCATAAAAAATTTTTATAATAAAAAATATGAAAATATTGCTGAATGTTCTGATTAAGATCAACAAAAAAGCTGAGACGGCAATGATATTTTGTAAAAAGAAACATCCTGGTTTAACTAAAATTAATATTAACATGTAATACAGTATTTTTAATTGATTATTACAGTAGACCCCTATAATGCGGGTTCATATAATGTGGATTCATATATCGCGACTGTATTCGTATAAAGACACTAAGAGAGACTCGTAAAATGCGGTAAAACGTCATTGCCGACTCGTGTCACAACAGGATTGGTCAAATCTGGACCAATAGTGGACAAGCAGCCAAATTACTTACATGCTATGGAGAGTTTAGGGGGGTAAGTTGAGTTTACTATCATCTGTACAGTATATAAATTAGGTACTGTAATTTTATACATTTCTTGTGAAAAAACATTTCTTATTCAATGGCCATAAAAATTATTTCTATTAATGATGTCTCCAAAGTTCAACGAATTTTTCGCAGAAAAATAACTTATCAGAAAACTTTTTGTTAATAGTTAATGCTATATTAACTATTAACAAAATTTGTGCCATTCATTAGGCTCCGCGACAGTGCACCAAACAGCACTGTTGCGGAGCAGTGCTGTTTGGTGCACTGCTCCGCGACAAAAACAAGTTTAACAATGGTGTCATCGAACGGTGCACACTCAGTAAGTAATCCTACAATTTTTTGTTTATAGCATAGTTTATACGGATTATTCCCAAAAAATTATACGTGTTTTTGAAATGTTGAGTCAAATTAGTCTAGAATCGATTAATTTTATAGAAGAAAACTTTATAGAAAAAAACCGTAATCCGTAAACTGCACACGTGCCAGGCTGTGATTGGCTCATGTATTTAAGGATTCCTACAATGCGAAATTCTTATAAAGTGAAACATATCTACCACGTTTAAGGTTTTCCCGACTGTAATTGGAAATAAATTATCAATTGCTTTAATAAACATGTCTTTTAGTAACAAAAAAGAATAGTATACTTTTGCTAACTTCTGGAACTTAACCCTATGTTTCATTTAGCACAGATTCTTATAACATAGCATTTTTTCAGAACATAACTACCATGTTATACAAAAGATAGCTGTATTTATATTGTTATTAAGTCTCTGCATAAGAATTGAATCAGTAAATCTTATGCTTCAATAACTTATAAAGTTATGGCAATTCTAACAAATTGAGTTTCCAATAATTAAAAAAAGTTAAGAAACTATGTGTAACTATACTGTGTAATTTTAATATTAAATAAATAAAATTACAATTAGTAAAATTTAAACAATAATGGATATTTGCTGAGTTTTGCAATATTACTTTTAACAATGGCTACTATATAATTAACTTACATTGCTTTAATGTATTGTGAGCAAATTATGACTAAAACACAATAGCTGCATGTTATGAACCAAATGTTGACTTACTATAAATGACTATTATAAAAAATTTAACAATATAGCATTAACTTGTAACAAAACTCAAAAATGATCAAATTCTTGACTTTAATAAGAAATTTTTCAGAGAATAATATTTTGATGATATGATTAATTTTTCCTACATTATTAAATGTCTAATTCTTTGATTTTCAGAAAAAAATTAAGCTTCTTTTAATTTATATCTATCACATATGAATTTATTGGCTTGCAATTTTCAAACTGTAGACCTATAAATTCCCACTGGTTTGTCTGTCCTTCCTTAATCTTGAAAACAAAGTTAGATAGATGAAAGTCAAAACTAGATATGAAAAGCTTAGGGCAGTTAACAGTATACAAACTTCCAGTTTGAATCAAAAGTCATGTTATTTAAATTCAAAAATTTTCTCCAGAGTTAGATGACTGGTATGACTATTGTTAACAGGAAAAGTATGATGTACAGGTGCAAGACACTACTAAAACAGAGTATATTGTTATAGTAAAGAAATTTAAAAATATGATTAAAAATTGCAGCCCAGCATTGTGACAATATCAGAATAAATAATTGCTCATTAATGTTAATGTAATATTTTTACTAACAACATATCAAAATAACCTACATAAAACTAACAATGCAAGTGTTATCCTCTTAAAATAGCTTGTTTAAAATAAAGCAAAGAAAATTTTATAATTATAATTCCTATCATAATAAATCAACAAATATTTTATATAGATTGACCACTGATTTTTTGACATACTTGATTCCAAAGATTGTTGGTTTAATGATTTTGCTGGACCATCAAGATCACATAACAACTCAACATTACATCCCTGATATTGCCAAAGCACTATGGATTACTAGGAACTTAAGTATATATTAATTTAAATTTATATTTGTACCACTGACATTTGCATCTTTTCTTAAAAGCTATAACTAGGTTTAATATAATTAAAATAAATTGTAAATTGTCAGCTCAAGATGTTGGTGAACCTGTATATTTTTTTAATTATCATTTTTTATTATTACAGGAAAAGTGTTATCAGGTATCCATTTGACCTCTTTCAAAACAAATTATCAAACTTTTATTTTATAGAATTTTTCAAATCATATTTGAAATTGATAATAATAATAAAATCAAATTTTTACCCTTATTATTATTATTATTAATATAAACAAAACTACTTTAAATACTTTCAAAAATTATATAGAAAATTTAACAATTTTAAGGATTCTACAGTGTGATATTTATTACAAAATTCTTAAAACAACATTTAACTTCAACATTACCATTGATGTCTGAGAATTCTTCTGCACTAAATGGAATCTGTCCTTCAGCAGATAATGTAACAAAAGCCCTTTGATTACGAGAAAAACATATATGTCCAGTACTAACTCTTCTTAACAAAACTTCTAGATACCTAAACAAATTATTAAATTATATAGCATTTTTAAATAATATCTTAAAGATTTTAAACTTATCTTTAATTAAGAATTTTTTAGTTACAAATTTTAAAAGATATTAAACCAAGACAGAACATAATTAAAACTGAAGTATCATCTCATCATTAAGAAACTAAAATTATAAAATAAAATTTTAAACAATGTTTTTGTAATAGTCTAATAGTTTAATTTTTTAAAATTGATTATACACAGATAAATCCAATAAAATCGATATTCCGTACAGATCAAATATTTCATGAAAATTATTTTCTACTTTTTAAAAGAACTAAAGTTTCTTTGCAAAATAATTTTCTTTAATGTATTGTAAAAATTATGAATTTTATTTACCAATTAGTATAGAGACAAGTAACTGTCTTATCACCATGACTGTCCTGAGGTTGAGTTTGTTGAAGTAAAACATTATTGAATACTCTAGTAATATCCAGATGTACTGAAAATAAAACTTTTGTTAATTCACAAGATACCACTATCTTAAATGCATATATTTAAAAATCAATCATTTTATATCATGTATCTGTGAAGATCTCATACTATCCATTGAGTCACATTAAATTAATTCATATTGATTGGTTAAAATGCTTAAATCTATTGAGTCACATTAATTAATGTGATTTTTACAGAAAGATATTTTTATTTATTACTTTAGAGTATTATAGAAAATTCATACAAAATGTATTCAATAATTTATTCTTATTTCATATACAGGGTCTGTTCAAAAAATAATAAAATTTTTTGAATAGGGCAGAAACAGTGTGTGCTAGTGTTGTGAGGTTGGCAACACTACATTTGTGATAGCCTACCGAGTAAGCTGCTTTCTTTAGATTGTTGATATCTCATTTCATTCCCACATTATTGTTTTTTTAAGTGAAAGGTGTTTCCGTGTTAGTGGCAATTTTTTCAATGTGCGATTTATAGGAGCAACAATGCAATGTGAAGTTTTGCGTGAAACTGGGGAAAACTTTTACGGAAATATTTCAACTTTTGAATCAAGCTTATAGAGATGGTGCTTTAGGTCGTACACAGTGTTACAAATGGTTTACCCAATTCAAAAGTGGTTGTCAATTAGTTGAAGATAACCTTCGACTCAGAAGGCCTTCAACCTCAACTGATGATAATCAAGGATCTGGTGCATGCAAATCATTGTCTGGCTGTCAGAGAACTTGCAGAAGAGGTTGGATCTCAAAATGTCATGGCATGACTTATTAACGGAAAAATTAAACATGCATTGAGTTGCAGCAAAATTTGTTCCTCATTTGATGACTGAACTGCAGAAGGAAATCGAATGGACATATGCCTGGAACTCCTTCAACAAGCCAACAATGACAAACACATTCATGCAAAGGATCATAGTGGGTGAGAAGAGTTGGATTTACAGCTATGACATTAAGACAAAAGTTCAATCATCACAGTAAGTTGGGAAGGAATCTCCATGCTGAAAAAAAGCACAACAGTCTCAATCCAATGTCAAGATGATGATCACTATTTATTTTTTTATTTATTTCAATGAGTTGTGCACTTTGAATTTTTGCCTCAAGGTCAAACAATCAACAGTCAGTAATATGCAAGTGTTTTCAAATGGTTGCATGAAAAAATTTGCTAAAAAAACCGAGAGTTGTGGCAAAACAACTCATTTCCTTCACCATGAAACACACCAGTTTTGTGCCAAAAATCAAATGACTGTCCTCATCAGACCTGGCTCCTTGCAATTTTTTCTTGTTTCCAAAATTAAAATCAGTGTTGAAAGGATGCTGTTTTGACACAATTGAATGACATTAAAACAAATTCGTCATAAGCATCGGACATTCCAAAAGAAGCTTAACAGTTCTTTGCCTTGCGAAGAGGAAACACTGCTGGAATAAATATGTGAATAGGGGAGGAGAGTACTTTCAAGGGGACAAGAACCAATAATCTGTAACTTGAAGAATAAAAATTAAAAAAATAAAGTTGTTATTTTTTGAACAGACCTCATATTAATTATATAAAGTAATAACAATAATAAAAAAAACAAAAACCTAGAATAATTTCAAGTTAAGCAATTCATTCAATAGTCTTATAATACAATTTTTTACATTAACACAAGAATCTTTCTGTAACATTAATGTTATGCACAAGATTTTCCTATAAGGTAAACCAAATCTTTTAAATATTACATTTGATGATGTTATAATATGTATATAAAATGGAATCAGGTGAATAAGCATAAAATAATTTCAAGTAAAAACCTTCATTATATTAATTTTGATTATTATATATATTTGAAACCCATAAATAATTAAAGAAACTGTAAATGTAATATTTCATATTACTGCAAAGTAATTTTTTTTGTCAGCTGAATCATTTTAAATGAATGACATAGTCATCTTCCATTAAACAAACTGTTTCAATGGAAATAGTTCATACACAACCATTCCATTCCAGGAATTTCTGAAAATAAATTTTTTTCAGAAAGCAATTTCCATTTGATGTGTTTCTGATAGCAGGCAAATAACCAACATGTTTGTTTTGTTCATTCTGTATTTTAAGCAGTTGTGCTAAGTTTCTTTTCACTTGAAAAATGCATTAGACATGATTTAAAACTGGAAAAAAAAAAAGGTTTGTCCCAGATTTATATAAATGTTTTATTGTATGGTGCTCAATATATTAGAATAAACAAAATTGAACTTTATCATAAAAATGAATATTACAAATATATAAAAACAGTACCTTTCTAAATGTATAATATAATACAAATTAAAATAAGGCCAGGAACACACATGCATAATATTGTGTGGCAGAAAATTGAATCAGAAATCAGCTTTCAGTTCAGTTTCTGTTTTACGCCAGAACACACACGTGTAAAAATTCTGGCCAAATAGGAAATGCCACTACCACTAACAGGTGCTACGTTTTATTAATTTTTTTCTCTCATATATCTATCTCTTTGTACCTTCCATTTTTCCTCCGCTTCCTCTGCTATAATATAGAAAATTTAAATTAATAGACTTGTATTCCAAATTCAAATAAAGAACGTGTGATCTAAATACTAGGCATATATATCAATTCTACTAGACCTACATGTTATTTGAAATTTAGCACCTATAGCCATCCATAAACATTGTTTAAATACAGTGTCTTTATACATGACATGGATGTGGTCAAAAAAATTCAATAAACTACTCTATTTCATTTATTTTTCATTTTTTTGAGATCGTCACAATTGTAAGGTTAACCTTCATTGCCACCATTGTTAGAATAAAAACCAAGTGTCTACTTTGACGTCACAAAAAAGACTTCTTTTTATTGGAGGAATTTTGGCATAAAAAGTAGAGACATGCTCTACTCTTTTTTCAGTTATGTTTCAGCCAAAATTTCAGAAAAATTTTTACGCTTTCTGTTTTAAGCTAGATTTTACGCATGTGTTCTGGCCTAACATTATAGTAAATAATATTCTAAGTTGCAGAATATTCTTATATTTCAAGTAAAGGAAATTAATCCAAACTGATTTTATTTTCTTGTATTTTATTCAAAATTTAATCAAATCTGATATATAACCTGTGAATAACAATAAAATCATTTTATATTTGCTTAATTCACAACTATTTCATATTTTAAACTAATTTATAAATTAAAATTTTATCAATAAGATAACATAGAAAACAATTATTTTAAAGAGTATTTTGTACATTTATCTAAATATTAATTTTTTTAATAACTTAAAATATACCAAGTTGAAATGAAAGAGTATTTCAACATAATTTATTAACATACCATAGTTTTCAATGCTTTGTAGAACATTCATGTATGCTCGTACACTACTTAAAAGTTCTGATGGTTTAGCTATTTCGTTATTTTCTGGATTATACATTACCATTCCAACAAGAGCCCTATGTAAAGTTTAAACAGAACAGTTTCATTCATATAAATAATTATTAATTCAGGAAAATCTACTTATCCAAAAACTAAAAATCTCTTTAACAATTTTTTTCTTATTTTATGATTTAAAGATATACAAAATAATAAAATTCAACCAACATAACTATGCATTAAATATTAAACTTCGTAAAATTTAAAATAAGTCTATTTTACTGTTTTATTAGATTTATATGAAATTAACATTAATGAATCAACAAAAGCATGAATGATTAAGTACGGTCTACCTAAATTTTTGGTTAAGCTTATAGTTAAAATTTTTAACCTACTTATTAAATCTACTTTCTAGATGCTGCGATAGATATTCTCTAGGTGCAAAAGTATGTTCCCAAACATGGATCGTACTGCAGTAATTAATTGCATAGCACAATTCAGTCAATGCCATATGAAGTTTGTCCATTCTAGAAATTAGAAAAATATCTAATAATTTAAAGTTTCATACAATTAATATTCAAAAATATTAATAGTTATTATATTTTATAATAGACTTATAATTAGATTTATATATTATACACTTACGTTGTAAGTTCTTCTCGTGTTCTTCGATAACTTTCTGTTCCAGGTTTGTCTAATTCTTGTACTACTTTATTTTTCTTATCTCTTCTTTTTTTATTTACTACTTGGGCAATTTGGGGAGCACAGTGTTTTGGTAGTAACTGTAAAATAAACAAAATTGTATTTATTATTTCTGTAACAATATACCCTTAAATTGATATTTAAAACATCAAAATTAATTTTAACTAAAATTGTAATTTTAAAAAATTCTTAAAAAATTATTTATTCATAAATTAGTATGTACTAACTCTATCACTGAGAGTGCATTGTTCATCACATATCGTTGTAATAATGTTCTTAGCTTCTTTGGACATTTCATCCAGGAATGCATTAACCATGGTCAAACTTCTATCTCCTATATGAATACGCTTTAAAAAATATAAATGAATTAAGTTAAGAAACTAAAAATATGCACTACATATATAATATTTATGTAGAACATAAATTTAATGAAAGAAGTAAACAAGACACGTGGTTATCATGTTATAAGTTGTTATTTTAAATCAATTGTTTTCAACTTCAATATTACTACAGATTGAAATAAAATTAAAATTTATAAATTACTGGTGCAAAAAATTTAATAGTAAAATTTGTTTAATTTTTAAAAATTAATTAAACTAAACTAAACTAAAAATTATGATGATAATTCTAAATCAGCATTATTGGGCTGCAATTTTCAAATTGCATATATACATTTCTAAATGTTCTGACTGTCTGTCCTTTAATCCCAATAACTATATATAAACTTTCAGTCTGGACTGCAAGTCATAGGACTTCAATTCAAAATTTTCAAGTTAACAATAGAGTCATGTCAGTCATCTATCTAACTCCTTTCAGGGGGAAATTTTTTAATTGAAATAACATGACTTCTGGTTTGCACCAGACATTCATATATAGTTCATATATATATCATATATTCATATATATCAAGTCTCCTGCCCCTAAGCTTTCCATATCTGGTCTCAATTTTCATCTATCTAACTCCATTCTTGAGATTAAGGAAGGACAAACAGACAGAACGACAGTGAGAATTTATAGGTCTACAATTTTTTCAAATTGCAGCCCAACAATGAGTAAAAATTGAATACTCTACACAAATATGAAAAAGTTTAATGACTATATCTTTTGTTAAGTCTGAAGTTCCATGACATTATTATTATTCTTTCAGTAATTTTCATTTATTGTAATACAGTAAATGAAAATTAGTATAGTAACAATGTTGTATACAATGTAGTACTAGCATCTGTAACACTGTATACAACATTGTACTAGCAATGTATAATGTTAGTACATTGTACTGTACAATGCTCCAGAATCAAAACCAAATAAAATTACAATTATATGAAGTATTTGAATATTGAACTAAATAAAATATTTTATTTTATTAAAATAAAAAACTTAATAACTACATTGGAATTAAATAACAAATTCTGACAAAAACTCCATACCTCTTCAGGACATAGTTCATGCGTGCAATTCATAAAATGACTGCAAATTAATGGAAAGGCAATGATATATCTAGTTTGAGCTGGAAATTCTAGACACATATGAAATTGGTCCTCAAATATTTTACTGAAAAAACTAATAAAGAAAACAAAAAATACATTAGATATAATAAATTACATTAATTAAAAATATTTATAAAATGATAATCACCAAAATATAGAAAGATCTGATGTTTCAACCAACATTTCATCCAGAAAATCAACCATTTTTGTATGAAAGATAATTGTATTCATTAAAGAAGCAAGGTCTCGATGATCTTGTAAATTTAAAGGATATTTGCTAACGCTACTGTAGGCCTATAAAAATAATAATCATTGAACTTCATCATATAAAAAATATGAAAAGTTGAAAAATTTTAATTAATTCCAAATAAATTTTAATATTAAAAAAAAAAAACCATATAAAAGTGAGTAAACTGAACAAACATTATTAATATTTCTAGCAGTATTACTGGTATTTGTTCAGTCTGTTCCTTTAACCTTAAAAACAGCAAATAAAAATGTCAAAATTACAAAAATTTCTGAATATTTAGAAAACATTAGCAATGAGAATTGAAAAGCTTCAGCTAATACTAGCAATTTATTTCTTTAATAGAATTCCTCATATTATGTATGACTTATAAGTGATTAAGAAAATATGTAATAATTTATTTTAATATTTTATGAATTAATTAATTAATTAATTTAATAATTTAATTAATTAAATTTATAATGTTTGTTACCCAAAATATAATTGCAAATACAATATTTTATTTGATTATAATAAGTTGAAAATTATTGAAATTTATGAAAATTCTTTATTATATGAATATGTGTATCCTGTGATGATTATTTTACTGTAAGAAAAAGAAATCTTCATAATTATTATTTTTGGTTATTATATTTGAGAAAAAATTGACTCATACAGGGCATAACATATATATTATCTGTTTTAATTTATAACAACTTAACACAATGATATTAACAATGATATGATATTCAAAATAAATCCTGTTTCACAATCATTCTTTGCAATGTGGAAAACAGATGCAATTGCACTGTGAAATTACATCCAAGTCTTCCACTTTTACATGATTGTGAAATGAATGCCAAATTGCATGGATAAGTTTCTGCAACCAGCTTGCAGATGGATNCGAAATTTAAAATATTTTCTTCTTTTTGTATTGATGCAATAATTTTAGAATCTTTATGATAAATTCTCAAATCATTTACATACTTTATTTGTAAAATTAATAATAATTATGTACAGTATTAATTAACTAACCTGAAGCCTGAACCAATCCAATCTCAATCCTCTGAAATCAAATATTTCATTTTCTTCCACTAAAAGATTAATGAAATTATTTTATGTATAAAATTATCTTATAGATATTTTAAAATAAATATAAATTAAAATTAATTTAATCAGAATAAAACTAATGATAACACAGATATTAGAAAAGTCTATTTTAGTTATTTATTAAAAGACAACTATTACAAAAAAAACTGTTTTTACATACTATAAAGAACCATTTTAAATATAAACTATTACTTTATTGTATATACTTTAACTACAATCCTATAAAATGTGGTAATAACAGAGTTACATTCTTGTTTTTTATTATCTTTTTATTCATTTTAATGATTAAATTGGAATTCTGTATGGTCATTCATTAAGTTGGCCTAATAATCTTTTTTATATTAGAAAAGTTGAGAAATCTGTATCAAATGTTATCATCACTGTTGAATGCATTTATGTAAGTATAGTACAAAGGAAAACAATTATTTTTTTAATATAAATAATTTAATTAAATATTTTATCTTTTTTAAATCATGTTTTAGTGAAAGCAGAAAGATAAATGAAATTTATTTCTTATAATAATTTTATAAAAGAGAAATATTATTAAAAATTTAATAAGGAAAATGCTACTTTCTTCACTGTTATTTAGAATGATATCTAATAAGCAGAATGAATAAATTTGGAGAATATGTTCTCTAGATTAATTCATAAAAATAAAACTGCAAAAAGTTCCAATTTTATTATAAAAATAATGTTTCTTCAAATATATTTTAATTTAGCTAAATAATTTAAAGTAAGAAAGCATAGTGTGGAAATAAAGCAATAATTTTCTTAAATACGATTGCAGATATTCAGAATACTGATATATTACATTAATTTAGGTAATAAAACTTTAAATAATAATAAAGCATAATCTACAAAATTATGAAAAATTTTTTAGTATTTATTGCCTGAATAAGTCTGACATCATCTTTAATAATATAAACCTTTCCTTGACAATTTGAAATTTTTGTTTTTACAAAATTACATCCTACATTTTGGAAGAACATGTCTTTTAATTTCAATACAAGCCATTTAATAAATTCCATTATCTACTGAAGATGCTGAAAAAAATTGAACTGATGAAGCCAAATAATAATCATCTAATGAAAGTAAATTTTCCAAAGATTTGTTAGATGCAATAGTTTAATATTCAAATACAAATTTCTAGAATATTTAATTCAAATCTATGCTAAATTATTACAATGAACTAAATATTGATTTTTTATTAACATTAATATTTTTATCCTCATAAAAAACTCAATATGTAAGATATCATTTAACAGTATTATCAACTAACAATGCTAGAAATCTGTTTGTATCAAACCACTATATCTATTTTTGTTTTCTTTTTTGGGAAAGTAAATATCTAATACTTTATATAGTATCAATTTTAATATAAAAATATTTCAAACTTTACCTTGCTTTACAGATAAACCAGAAATTGCTGCACAAATTGAAGACAAAATTACAGAATCCTCTTCAGGCATCACTGATACATTCTAAAATAATATTACATCTTTGAAATGAATCAAATTGATATGTTAAAATAATTATTAAATATTCATAAGGATTATGAATATTTAATTATGAAATATTTTTTTAAATACTACTGCTACAAGTTAATTCTTACTAGTATATAAGCTTCTTAGTCAATTTGGAATTTAAGTTTGTAACAATTTCTAATTAAACTTAACCCCAAAATTACAGGATTTTCTATTTATCCTGTATTCTATATAAATAAACATCATCATTTCCACTATAATTAAGCGAAAACTTTTGTACAAATTTGTATGGAGAAATAAATATTAAATATCAACATGATATAAAAAAATGTCATAAGTCATGTATTTTTTTTATAAATACTTACCAAGACATTAGCTACATCATAATGTACTTTATGAGAATCTTATTTCAGACAGTTTAAACATTTCTATTGTTAAACCAAAATAAAAATCAAAACAGTTGTAATGTCTAAAAGCAGGTGATATGGAATTCATTTTGAAAATTATCTAATATTTTCTATTTTCTAAACACAAATAAAATTTTATTTCCACTAACAAAATTATGACTTGGATTGTTTAAATAAAGTTATCTATAGCTGTGGTATTTCTAATGTTGGTGCATTACACGGCAATGTAGCAGATATGTAAAGGTTCTCCCATATGAATATTTGCATATGATCATTGCAATGTTTAAGCAATTTAATGTGGTTCCAAAGTATACACAGTTACCATACACAGTTCCACTAACAAATTTATTTAGTCTAATCTATAAATATTGAATTGTGTGATTAACTGAAATAAAAATACAGTAGAGCATCGGTTATCCGAAAGCATTCCAGTCGTCAAATTTAAATTTTCACTAGTTCTTTGGCTATATCTCGGGCTACTCCAATATTTTTTTTGTTGATGTGTGTGTTTTAGCTGGCAGCACTGGATATAAATTAAAATTAATTTAATCAGAATAAAACTAATGATAACACAGATATTAGAAAAGTCTATTTTAGTTATTTATTAAAAGACAACTATTACAAAAAAAACTGTTTTTACATACTATAAAGAACCATTTTAAATATAAACTATTACTTTATTGTATATACTTTAACTACAATCCTATAAAATGTGGTAATAACAGAGTTACATTCTTGTTTTTTATTATCTTTTTATTCATTTTAATGATTAAATTGGAATTCTGTATGGTCATTCATTAAGTTGGCCTAATAATCTTTTTTATATTAGAAAAGTTGAGAAATCTGTATCAAATGTTATCATCACTGTTGAATGCATTTATGTAAGTATAGNAAGCACAACAGTCTCAATCCAATGTCAAGATGATGATCACTATTTATTTTTTTATTTATTTCAATGAGTTGTGCACTTTGAATTTTTGCCTCAAGGTCAAACAATCAACAGTCAGTAATATGCAAGTGTTTTCAAATGGTTGCATGAAAAAATTTGCTAAAAAAACCGAGAGTTGTGGCAAAACAACTCATTTCCTTCACCATGAAACACACCAGTTTTGTGCCAAAAATCAAATGACTGTCCTCATCAGACCTGGCTCCTTGCAATTTTTTCTTGTTTCCAAAATTAAAATCAGTGTTGAAAGGATGCTGTTTTGACACAATTGAATGACATTAAAACAAATTCGTCATAAGCATCGGACATTCCAAAAGAAGCTTAACAGTTCTTTGCCTTGCGAAGAGGAAACACTGCTGGAATAAATATGTGAATAGGGGAGGAGAGTACTTTCAAGGGGACAAGAACCAATAATCTGTAACTTGAAGAATAAAAATTAAAAAAATAAAGTTGTTATTTTTTGAACAGACCTCATATTAATTATATAAAGTAATAACAATAATAAAAAAAACAAAAACCTAGAATAATTTCAAGTTAAGCAATTCATTCAATAGTCTTATAATACAATTTTTTACATTAACACAAGAATCTTTCTGTAACATTAATGTTATGCACAAGATTTTCCTATAAGGTAAACCAAATCTTTTAAATATTACATTTGATGATGTTATAATATGTATATAAAATGGAATCAGGTGAATAAGCATAAAATAATTTCAAGTAAAAACCTTCATTATATTAATTTTGATTATTATATATATTTGAAACCCATAAATAATTAAAGAAACTGTAAATGTAATATTTCATATTACTGCAAAGTAATTTTTTTTGTCAGCTGAATCATTTTAAATGAATGACATAGTCATCTTCCATTAAACAAACTGTTTCAATGGAAATAGTTCATACACAACCATTCCATTCCAGGAATTTCTGAAAATAAATTTTTTTCAGAAAGCAATTTCCATTTGATGTGTTTCTGATAGCAGGCAAATAACCAACATGTTTGTTTTGTTCATTCTGTATTTTAAGCAGTTGTGCTAAGTTTCTTTTCACTTGAAAAATGCATTAGACATGATTTAAAACTGGAAAAAAAAAAAGGTTTGTCCCAGATTTATATAAATGTTTTATTGTATGGTGCTCAATATATTAGAATAAACAAAATTGAACTTTATCATAAAAATGAATATTACAAATATATAAAAACAGTACCTTTCTAAATGTATAATATAATACAAATTAAAATAAGGCCAGGAACACACATGCATAATATTGTGTGGCAGAAAATTGAATCAGAAATCAGCTTTCAGTTCAGTTTCTGTTTTACGCCAGAACACACACGTGTAAAAATTCTGGCCAAATAGGAAATGCCACTACCACTAACAGGTGCTACGTTTTATTAATTTTTTTCTCTCATATATCTATCTCTTTGTACCTTCCATTTTTCCTCCGCTTCCTCTGCTATAATATAGAAAATTTAAATTAATAGACTTGTATTCCAAATTCAAATAAAGAACGTGTGATCTAAATACTAGGCATATATATCAATTCTACTAGACCTACATGTTATTTGAAATTTAGCACCTATAGCCATCCATAAACATTGTTTAAATACAGTGTCTTTATACATGACATGGATGTGGTCAAAAAAATTCAATAAACTACTCTATTTCATTTATTTTTCATTTTTTTGAGATCGTCACAATTGTAAGGTTAACCTTCATTGCCACCATTGTTAGAATAAAAACCAAGTGTCTACTTTGACGTCACAAAAAAGACTTCTTTTTATTGGAGGAATTTTGGCATAAAAAGTAGAGACATGCTCTACTCTTTTTTCAGTTATGTTTCAGCCAAAATTTCAGAAAAATTTTTACGCTTTCTGTTTTAAGCTAGATTTTACGCATGTGTTCTGGCCTAACATTATAGTAAATAATATTCTAAGTTGCAGAATATTCTTATATTTCAAGTAAAGGAAATTAATCCAAACTGATTTTATTTTCTTGTATTTTATTCAAAATTTAATCAAATCTGATATATAACCTGTGAATAACAATAAAATCATTTTATATTTGCTTAATTCACAACTATTTCATATTTTAAACTAATTTATAAATTAAAATTTTATCAATAAGATAACATAGAAAACAATTATTTTAAAGAGTATTTTGTACATTTATCTAAATATTAATTTTTTTAATAACTTAAAATATACCAAGTTGAAATGAAAGAGTATTTTGTACATTTATCTAAATATTAATTTTTTTAATAACTTAAAATATACCAAGTTGAAATGAAAGAGTATTTCAACATAATTTATTAACATACCATAGTTTTCAATGCTTTGTAGAACATTCATGTATGCTCGTACACTACTTAAAAGTTCTGATGGTTTAGCTATTTCGTTATTTTCTGGATTATACATTACCATTCCAACAAGAGCCCTATGTAAAGTTTAAACAGAACAGTTTCATTCATATAAATAATTATTAATTCAGGAAAATCTACTTATCCAAAAACTAAAAATCTCTTTAACAATTTTTTTCTTATTTTATGATTTAAAGATATACAAAATAATAAAATTCAACCAACATAACTATGCATTAAATATTAAACTTCGTAAAATTTAAAATAAGTCTATTTTACTGTTTTATTAGATTTATATGAAATTAACATTAATGAATCAACAAAAGCATGAATGATTAAGTACGGTCTACCTAAATTTTTGGTTAAGCTTATAGTTAAAATTTTTAACCTACTTATTAAATCTACTTTCTAGATGCTGCGATAGATATTCTCTAGGTGCAAAAGTATGTTCCCAAACATGGATCGTACTGCAGTAATTAATTGCATAGCACAATTCAGTCAATGCCATATGAAGTTTGTCCATTCTAGAAATTAGAAAAATATCTAATAATTTAAAGTTTCATACAATTAATATTCAAAAATATTAATAGTTATTATATTTTATAATAGACTTATAATTAGATTTATATATTATACACTTACGTTGTAAGTTCTTCTCGTGTTCTTCGATAACTTTCTGTTCCAGGTTTGTCTAATTCTTGTACTACTTTATTTTTCTTATCTCTTCTTTTTTTATTTACTACTTGGGCAATTTGGGGAGCACAGTGTTTTGGTAGTAACTGTAAAATAAACAAAATTGTATTTATTATTTCTGTAACAATATACCCTTAAATTGATATTTAAAACATCAAAATTAATTTTAACTAAAATTGTAATTTTAAAAAATTCTTAAAAAATTATTTATTCATAAATTAGTATGTACTAACTCTATCACTGAGAGTGCATTGTTCATCACATATCGTTGTAATAATGTTCTTAGCTTCTTTGGACATTTCATCCAGGAATGCATTAACCATGGTCAAACTTCTATCTCCTATATGAATACGCTTTAAAAAATATAAATGAATTAAGTTAAGAAACTAAAAATATGCACTACATATATAATATTTATGTAGAACATAAATTTAATGAAAGAAGTAAACAAGACACGTGGTTATCATGTTATAAGTTGTTATTTTAAATCAATTGTTTTCAACTTCAATATTACTACAGATTGAAATAAAATTAAAATTTATAAATTACTGGTGCAAAAAATTTAATAGTAAAATTTGTTTAATTTTTAAAAATTAATTAAACTAAACTAAACTAAAAATTATGATGATAATTCTAAATCAGCATTATTGGGCTGCAATTTTCAAATTGCATATATACATTTCTAAATGTTCTGACTGTCTGTCCTTTAATCCCAATAACTATATATAAACTTTCAGTCTGGACTGCAAGTCATAGGACTTCAATTCAAAATTTTCAAGTTAACAATAGAGTCATGTCAGTCATCTATCTAACTCCTTTCAGGGGGAAATTTTTTAATTGAAATAACATGACTTCTGGTTTGCACCAGACATTCATATATAGTTCATATATATATCATATATTCATATATATCAAGTCTCCTGCCCCTAAGCTTTCCATATCTGGTCTCAATTTTCATCTATCTAACTCCATTCTTGAGATTAAGGAAGGACAAACAGACAGAACGACAGTGAGAATTTATAGGTCTACAATTTTTTCAAATTGCAGCCCAACAATGAGTAAAAATTGAATACTCTACACAAATATGAAAAAGTTTAATGACTATATCTTTTGTTAAGTCTGAAGTTCCATGACATTATTATTATTCTTTCAGTAATTTTCATTTATTGTAATACAGTAAATGAAAATTAGTATAGTAACAATGTTGTATACAATGTAGTACTAGCATCTGTAACACTGTATACAACATTGTACTAGCAATGTATAATGTTAGTACATTGTACTGTACAATGCTCCAGAATCAAAACCAAATAAAATTACAATTATATGAAGTATTTGAATATTGAACTAAATAAAATATTTTATTTTATTAAAATAAAAAACTTAATAACTACATTGGAATTAAATAACAAATTCTGACAAAAACTCCATACCTCTTCAGGACATAGTTCATGCGTGCAATTCATAAAATGACTGCAAATTAATGGAAAGGCAATGATATATCTAGTTTGAGCTGGAAATTCTAGACACATATGAAATTGGTCCTCAAATATTTTACTGAAAAAACTAATAAAGAAAACAAAAAATACATTAGATATAATAAATTACATTAATTAAAAATATTTATAAAATGATAATCACCAAAATATAGAAAGATCTGATGTTTCAACCAACATTTCATCCAGAAAATCAACCATTNTAACCTACTTATTAAATCTACTTTCTAGATGCTGCGATAGATATTCTCTAGGTGCAAAAGTATGTTCCCAAACATGGATCGTACTGCAGTAATTAATTGCATAGCACAATTCAGTCAATGCCATATGAAGTTTGTCCATTCTAGAAATTAGAAAAATATCTAATAATTTAAAGTTTCATACAATTAATATTCAAAAATATTAATAGTTATTATATTTTATAATAGACTTATAATTAGATTTATATATTATACACTTACGTTGTAAGTTCTTCTCGTGTTCTTCGATAACTTTCTGTTCCAGGTTTGTCTAATTCTTGTACTACTTTATTTTTCTTATCTCTTCTTTTTTTATTTACTACTTGGGCAATTTGGGGAGCACAGTGTTTTGGTAGTAACTGTAAAATAAACAAAATTGTATTTATTATTTCTGTAACAATATACCCTTAAATTGATATTTAAAACATCAAAATTAATTTTAACTAAAATTGTAATTTTAAAAAATTCTTAAAAAATTATTTATTCATAAATTAGTATGTACTAACTCTATCACTGAGAGTGCATTGTTCATCACATATCGTTGTAATAATGTTCTTAGCTTCTTTGGACATTTCATCCAGGAATGCATTAACCATGGTCAAACTTCTATCTCCTATATGAATACGCTTTAAAAAATATAAATGAATTAAGTTAAGAAACTAAAAATATGCACTACATATATAATATTTATGTAGAACATAAATTTAATGAAAGAAGTAAACAAGACACGTGGTTATCATGTTATAAGTTGTTATTTTAAATCAATTGTTTTCAACTTCAATATTACTACAGATTGAAATAAAATTAAAATTTATAAATTACTGGTGCAAAAAATTTAATAGTAAAATTTGTTTAATTTTTAAAAATTAATTAAACTAAACTAAACTAAAAATTATGATGATAATTCTAAATCAGCATTATTGGGCTGCAATTTTCAAATTGCATATATACATTTCTAAATGTTCTGACTGTCTGTCCTTTAATCCCAATAACTATATATAAACTTTCAGTCTGGACTGCAAGTCATAGGACTTCAATTCAAAATTTTCAAGTTAACAATAGAGTCATGTCAGTCATCTATCTAACTCCTTTCAGGGGGAAATTTTTTAATTGAAATAACATGACTTCTGGTTTGCACCAGACATTCATATATAGTTCATATATATATCATATATTCATATATATCAAGTCTCCTGCCCCTAAGCTTTCCATATCTGGTCTCAATTTTCATCTATCTAACTCCATTCTTGAGATTAAGGAAGGACAAACAGACAGAACGACAGTGAGAATTTATAGGTCTACAATTTTTTCAAATTGCAGCCCAACAATGAGTAAAAATTGAATACTCTACACAAATATGAAAAAGTTTAATGACTATATCTTTTGTTAAGTCTGAAGTTCCATGACATTATTATTATTCTTTCAGTAATTTTCATTTATTGTAATACAGTAAATGAAAATTAGTATAGTAACAATGTTGTATACAATGTAGTACTAGCATCTGTAACACTGTATACAACATTGTACTAGCAATGTATAATGTTAGTACATTGTACTGTACAATGCTCCAGAATCAAAACCAAATAAAATTACAATTATATGAAGTATTTGAATATTGAACTAAATAAAATATTTTATTTTATTAAAATAAAAAACTTAATAACTACATTGGAATTAAATAACAAATTCTGACAAAAACTCCATACCTCTTCAGGACATAGTTCATGCGTGCAATTCATAAAATGACTGCAAATTAATGGAAAGGCAATGATATATCTAGTTTGAGCTGGAAATTCTAGACACATATGAAATTGGTCCTCAAATATTTTACTGAAAAAACTAATAAAGAAAACAAAAAATACATTAGATATAATAAATTACATTAATTAAAAATATTTATAAAATGATAATCACCAAAATATAGAAAGATCTGATGTTTCAACCAACATTTCATCCAGAAAATCAACCATTTTTGTATGAAAGATAATTGTATTCATTAAAGAAGCAAGGTCTCGATGATCTTGTAAATTTAAAGGATATTTGCTAACGCTACTGTAGGCCTATAAAAATAATAATCATTGAACTTCATCATATAAAAAATATGAAAAGTTGAAAAATTTTAATTAATTCCAAATAAATTTTAATATTAAAAAAAAAAAACCATATAAAAGTGAGTAAACTGAACAAACATTATTAATATTTCTAGCAGTATCACTGGTATTTGTTCAGTCTGTTCCTTTAACCTTAAAAACAGCAAATAAAAATGTCAAAATTACAAAAATTTCTGAATATTTAGAAAACATTAGCAATGAGAATTGAAAAGCTTCAGCTAATACTAGCAATTTATTTCTTTAATAGAATTCCTCATATTATGTATGACTTATAAGTGATTAAGAAAATATGTAATAATTTATTTTAATATTTTATGAATTAATTAATTAATTAATTTAATAATTTAATTAATTAAATTTATAATGTTTGTTACCCAAAATATAATTGCAAATACAATATTTTATTTGATTATAATAAGTTGAAAATTATTGAAATTTATGAAAATTCTTTATTATATGAATATGTGTATCCTGTGATGATTATTTTACTGTAAGAAAAAGAAATCTTCATAATTATTATTTTTGGTTATTATATTTGAGAAAAAATTGACTCATACAGGGCATAACATATATATTATCTGTTTTAATTTATAACAACTTAACACAATGATATTAACAATGATATGATATTCAAAATAAATCCTGTTTCACAATCATTCTTTGCAATGTGGAAAACAGATGCAATTGCACTGTGAAATTACATCCAAGTCTTCCACTTTTACATGATTGTGAAATGAATGCCAAATTGCATGGATAAGTTTCTGCAACCAGCTTGCAGATGGATTTTCTATTTCAAACTGTGCTTGATATCTAGCAGATCGACAAACATTCCAGTAAATAGGAAGATGGTAAAATTGAGAAACATTCTAGTATGATGGCTTCCAATAACAAATATGATTTTACTATCAATTTTAACCAGTCAGTCAGTATATTTTAACCAATAGGAACAATTTTAAAGAATTCTCTAGTTGATTGTGAAACAAGATCAGAAAGTAAAAGCCATGTATGTATCATGCAAATATCACATTTTGAATTGCATGGATTCCACTTTCTCAACAATTGTGAAACAGACATTAAGTGCAGAAAATATTACTTATAAAATAGCATGGCAGGCAATACAAAATTTATTACTTTATGAATCAGCATAATTATTAGTTAACACAGGATATTAAGCATTTTTATGCTAAAAATCAGTTAATATTTTCTAAAATTTCTGTAGTATTATGCAAGTATATATATTATATGTATAATATATACACACATACACACAGGGTTCCTACTCAAATATTTGTTTTAAATTTCATGACTTTCCAACTTTCCCTGATCTTCATGTCCCTTACATTATGGTACAATGACAAAACAAAACAGCATTTGACTTACTATGCATTTATGCTATTGTTTTTCCAACTTTTTAATTAATTGTTTTTTCTAATTAACACATATATTTTTTATAATTGCCAACTTATTAAAACTAAAAATCTGCATGGTTTTGAAAAAAAAGCATTTATTTATTTATTATTCATCAACAAATCCTGTATAATCTAAGTACAAAAGTATATATTTATTAAATTTATCTCTTAATAAATATACTAAATTTTATAAAACATTAATAAACAGGAAAAAATCAGAAAGTGTTTTGTTACACATTACTAAAATAAAAAATGATAAATATCATTTAAATTAAAATTATCATTTTTCATTTTAATAATTTTAATAACATAACAGAACAATTTGATTTTTTCTAGTTTATTAATATTTTATAAAGTTCAGGACCTTTATTAAGGGACAAATTTAATAAATTTATATTTTTCTACATGGATTATACAGGATTTGTTTAAGAACAAAGCTGGAACAATAATTAAAGTAATACCTCTCACTTCTTACTTCTTTCCAGCACATAGTTTAATAGTTCAAACAAATGTTTTCAGCTGCTTAACTGCATATATTGGGTCCACCTGCAGATCACTCTTGTTGAGAATCAAGGAGCATCTTTATGACACCAAGAAAAAGAANCCATAAAGTTTCACTAAGATTCAGATAAAACCATTTATTATTATTTAGATGTCAAAAACATCTAAAATTTTATAAATAATAATATTTAAATGTTATTAAAAATACTTTATTTAATAATGTTGTTTTTAAAATTTGTAGTTTTTACATTGAGTTTGAAATAATGACTTGAAATGACTTTTTCTCAATGAAAATATCAGAGAAAACTTAAATATTAAACAACTAAAAAATACTATTTATCTCAGCTTTATTAAAATAAGATATATATCATTTGTTTCAATGAAAAATAAATTTATAATTCTTTACACTTTAAACAATAAAATGCTCTAACGAAATTTAAAATATTTTCTTCTTTTTGTATTGATGCAATAATTTTAGAATCTTTATGATAAATTCTCAAATCATTTACATACTTTATTTGTAAAATTAATAATAATTATGTACAGTATTAATTAACTAACCTGAAGCCTGAACCAATCCAATCTCAATCCTCTGAAATCAAATATTTCATTTTCTTCCACTAAAAGATTAATGAAATTATTTTATGTATAAAATTATCTTATAGATATTTTAAAATAAATATAAATTAAAATTAATTTAATCAGAATAAAACTAATGATAACACAGATATTAGAAAAGTCTATTTTAGTTATTTATTAAAAGACAACTATTACAAAAAAAACTGTTTTTACATACTATAAAGAACCATTTTAAATATAAACTATTACTTTATTGTATATACTTTAACTACAATCCTATAAAATGTGGTAATAACAGAGTTACATTCTTGTTTTTTATTATCTTTTTATTCATTTTAATGATTAAATTGGAATTCTGTATGGTCATTCATTAAGTTGGCCTAATAATCTTTTTTATATTAGAAAAGTTGAGAAATCTGTATCAAATGTTATCATCACTGTTGAATGCATTTATGTAAGTATAGTACAAAGGAAAACAATTATTTTTTTAATATAAATAATTTAATTAAATATTTTATCTTTTTTAAATCATGTTTTAGTGAAAGCAGAAAGATAAATGAAATTTATTTCTTATAATAATTTTATAAAAGAGAAATATTATTAAAAATTTAATAAGGAAAATGCTACTTTCTTCACTGTTATTTAGAATGATATCTAATAAGCAGAATGAATAAATTTGGAGAATATGTTCTCTAGATTAATTCATAAAAATAAAACTGCAAAAAGTTCCAATTTTATTATAAAAATAATGTTTCTTCAAATATATTTTAATTTAGCTAAATAATTTAAAGTAAGAAAGCATAGTGTGGAAATAAAGCAATAATTTTCTTAAATACGATTGCAGATATTCAGAATACTGATATATTACATTAATTTAGGTAATAAAACTTTAAATAATAATAAAGCATAATCTACAAAATTATGAAAAATTTTTTAGTATTTATTGCCTGAATAAGTCTGACATCATCTTTAATAATATAAACCTTTCCTTGACAATTTGAAATTTTTGTTTTTACAAAATTACATCCTACATTTTGGAAGAACATGTCTTTTAATTTCAATACAAGCCATTTAATAAATTCCATTATCTACTGAAGATGCTGAAAAAAATTGAACTGATGAAGCCAAATAATAATCATCTAATGAAAGTAAATTTTCCAAAGATTTGTTAGATGCAATAGTTTAATATTCAAATACAAATTTCTAGAATATTTAATTCAAATCTATGCTAAATTATTACAATGAACTAAATATTGATTTTTTATTAACATTAATATTTTTATCCTCATAAAAAACTCAATATGTAAGATATCATTTAACAGTATTATCAACTAGCAATGCTAGAAATCTGTTTGTATCAAACCACTATATCTATTTTTGTTTTCTTTTTTGGGAAAGTAAATATCTAATACTTTATATAGTATCAATTTTAATATAAAAATATTTCAAACTTTACCTTGCTTTACAGATAAACCAGAAATTGCTGCACAAATTGAAGACAAAATTACAGAATCCTCTTCAGGCATCACTGATACATTCTAAAATAATATTACATCTTTGAAATGAATCAAATTGATATGTTAAAATAATTATTAAATATTCATAAGGATTATGAATATTTAATTATGAAATATTTTTTTAAATACTACTGCTACAAGTTAATTCTTACTAGTATATAAGCTTCTTAGTCAATTTGGAATTTAAGTTTGTAACAATTTCTAATTAAACTTAACCCCAAAATTACAGGATTTTCTATTTATCCTGTATTCTATATAAATAAACATCATCATTTCCACTATAATTAAGCGAAAACTTTTGTACAAATTTGTATGGAGAAATAAATATTAAATATCAACATGATATAAAAAAATGTCATAAGTCATGTATTTTTTTTATAAATACTTACCAAGACATTAGCTACATCATAATGTACTTTATGAGAATCTTATTTCAGACAGTTTAAACATTTCTATTGTTAAACCAAAATAAAAATCAAAACAGTTGTAATGTCTAAAAGCAGGTGATATGGAATTCATTTTGAAAATTATCTAATATTTTCTATTTTCTAAACACAAATAAAATTTTATTTCCACTAACAAAATTATGACTTGGATTGTTTAAATAAAGTTATCTATAGCTGTGGTATTTCTAATGTTGGTGCATTACACGGCAATGTAGCAGATATGTAAAGGTTCTCCCATATGAATATTTGCATATGATCATTGCAATGTTTAAGCAATTTAATGTGGTTCCAAAGTATACACAGTTACCATACACAGTTCCACTAACAAATTTATTTAGTCTAATCTATAAATATTGAATTGTGTGATTAACTGAAATAAAAATACAGTAGAGCATCGGTTATCCGAAAGCATTCCAGTCGTCAAATTTAAATTTTCACTAGTTCTTTGGCTATATCTTGGGCTACTCCAATATTTTTTTTGTTGATGTGTGTGTTTTAGCTGGCAGCACTGGCACTTGTGTGTATGTTTTTCCAAGACTGCGTGTCCTGCTGAATCGAACTTTTTTTATACTAGATTAACTTCTAAAGTATAATTTTTTTTGTTTTTATATTTTTCAATATATTTATTTTGTTTGTACAAAATAAAGAAATAATTTTTAATGATACNTATGATGATTCTTATAATATTAAATATTATTATTATTATTTAATATATTTAAATGTCTATTTCTTTATACAGTTCATTTATTAATGAATTTAATGTCATGCAACATTAAACAGTTTTAATATTGATATTCATGTAAAAATATTTTCAATGTATAATCTATTTACAGTCAATATATAGTCTTAATAATGACAGTAATTCAAGTTTTCAATTTTCCTATAATAATTTGAATTGTTTTTCTGTATTAGAAATCCATATCAAAAATAACCATACAGATTCAAATTCAATGAAAGGATAATTATTAGAAACTATTATAATGAAACTTTCCATTCAGAAATCATAGACAATATTCATTATTGATCTTACTTATTCCATATTTCCAGAAAAATATTTCTTCAATGTTAAATTACTTTGATGAGTTGTAAGATAATTATTAAAAAGTTGTAGATAGTTGTTAAATAGTAATTGTGTTAGTTTAACTTGATATTTGTAAATGACATTGGACATCTGATATGTTTATATAGATTTTTTATATATTTGATTTCCTCAACTGCCAAATTTTACACTCATATGACATCAAATTCATTGGTGTAAGTAATACATATAAAGTATTTAAAAATATAACTTTTCAAGGCATAGTGCTATTTTTTGAAATTAAAATATGTGAATACTGCTTACGCATATTGAAGAGCATGGTTATAACACTCCTTCACTTCTGATACTTTTAATACTATTACTACAATAAACAAAAGTGTCCCATAAGTCTGGACTCATAGGAGTTTCTCATATTACTATTCCTTTCATTACAGGAAAACCATGTCACTGACTACAGAGGAATGAATTAAGGTGATTTTGATGGTGAAGTCCCACAGTCACACAAGAAATGGCCAGAAAATTCAATAGGCTCAATCCAGACTGCAGACTAATCATGCATAGATGTGCTGGTAAGGTCATTGTCAAATTTAATGAAACTGGGAATGTACATGCCAGGCCTTGCAACTGACTGCCAAGAAGTGTGTGGCTCATTTCACACTGGCCTTNGCAAGAAAATGTTTACTGCAATTCAAAATTGCTAATTATACAAGTGGTAAAAACCAAAAGAAAGAAAAACAAAAAAATTTTGAAATCTAATTTTCTTCTTTAATTTAAATTACCATAAAGTAAAAAAATTAAATTGAATTCAACAGAATTATCTAAAAAGCTATAGATATTGGGTTGTATGCCATAATTAAATCATTAATTTAAGATTATTTATAACTCACAACATAATGAATAGTAACAAAAAAAAAATTGGTAAATCTTAAAATATATCAAGAATGTTATAATTTGAATTCCTATATTTGGCCAGAAAAGCCATAATAATCACTTCAAAAATAAAAGTGTTAATTTCAGGAATCAAGTAGTACATGTTCTTCATTATTAACAAATAAATGAAGAGTTAAAATTTTTAACTATTGTTTTATAACTTGGATATCTAAAATAATTATACAGTAGAACCTCAATTATCTGGACCTCTATTATCCGGATTTTCGATTATCCAGATTGTTCAAAATAAACAAAAATTTTACAAATTTGTTGATTTGCACTTGGCGAATTACAATACTGTTTATGTACATGATGGAATGCATAACTTTTTTTTGTTTCAACAATGTCTCACCCGTGCGGCACAGTGGTCATAAACTCTTAAATATATTTTGCGTCATAATAAAAATATAACTTGACATACGTATTTATAAATAATTTTATTTTCAAATTACATCATTTCTATGACCAAGGGTGGCGTAAGGCATGGGCAACATGGACCACTGCCTTAAGCCTCGCGGTCCAAAGGGCCTCACGTCTCGAAGGTTTATGCATTACTTAAAAGCCGCGAACGCGACAAAAAAATTTTACTTGTCATAAAACAATAAATAGTTTGTCAAATTTTTATTCATAAAAATGCAATTTCAACTGCTTTTTATTTTATAAAATCCGTCTTCTTGCGCCACCAGAGGGCCTTTTAAACAATTGGTAGTCTGTTAGCATTGGTCAGTAGTAGTCCAAATTCAATACAAACATTTGTTTCTTGAAAATTTGATCACGATTTAAATACAGTATTTGTTTTTAATATTACCGATATGTCATCGAATATAAAACGTGTTGTATTATCATTAAAAGACAAAGTATTTGTTTCGATTATCCGAATTTTTCCTTATCTGGACTACCTTCATCCCCAATTAGTCCGGATAATTGAGGTTCTACTGTACTTAAATTGATGATAATTTCTAAATCATCTATTAGTATTAAGCCATAGCCAACAAACTTACTAGTAATATACTTTTGTCATTACATAACATGTAACAGGTATTTTAAGAAACATTTCAGGTTCCTAGATATTAATTTATGCATTAGGATGCATTCCATAGTCATATATTTGTTACATTTGGATAAAGACAATAATTGTAAAAGGAAATGCAAGGGTCTATATAATTAAGGATAGTCTGTTCCAGAGAGGATGGTAGTTTCTATTATAAAGACTCCACACATAAATCTCCAGCCAAAAAATTTAAACATTATAAACAGATTTCAGTCATCCCAAATGTTTCTTCATTCTCACCATTACCCTTGGGCAAGAAATCAAAGCTTTTTGGAATAAGCCAGTTTAACTATTATAACAGTTACAGTATATATTTATAAGCCAATATGCTAAGTTATTAACAAACAATATATCTATAGCATAGACAAAGCTTGTACATGACTTTTGATAATGTTTAATTTCCCTTCTTTTATAGACACATTGAATTCTAAATTTCTCCAATTTCTGTATATGTTTTTTCACTCCTGTATANTGACAAGTGGGCAGTTCTCCTCAAACTGTTGCCTATCAAAAAGAGGTACGACTTTGTCCTACCTCAAGCTACCCACACTACATTATAAAAATTATTATTATTACATTTTTTCAATTATAAAATAATAATTTAAGACAAATAATGAAACTGAACAAACTTATTAATGAGCATTTTTGAGAAAATCAGTTGATTATCTTCAGATAAAACAAAATAGCATGCATTGAAAAAAAAACAACTTAAAAAAAAAATAATACATAAATTACTTTAGGGTATTACATTATTATTTCTTAATTACTTGTTTTAAACTTTTAACTCCTCAAGACAGTTAAAAATCATATTTCATCAGTTTTATCATGATATAATGATAACAATAATGGATATCTTGAAATGATAACATTAATTATTATTATTTCAAGATTATGAACAACATTAAAATGTATTAATATGATTAACATTTATTAATAATTTATTAATTTATTATTATTCTTATTAAATTTCACTTCAAGTAAAACATTAATTAAATAATTTCACTAATATATAAATACATTAAAATATAAAATGTAATATATATATTACATTTTAATGAAAACATTTAATTAATTACTTTAGTTATCCAGTATCAGGTTTAAAAATCAATATATGTAACTATTTCTAAATATATTAAATATTATAATTACTGTGTCAGTCTGTGCTGGAGTAAGCATCTGTGAAGGTGATGCAACAAGACTCAACATTTGACTCTTACGCCATTCTTCTACAACTAGATTTCTTCTTGGGAACACATATTGTAATGACATTAATGCTTGAAATAATAACTGCATAAAAAATAATTGTAATGACTTAATTGTAGTATTTCAGAATTATTTCATTTTTTAAAAATATATAAATATAATTTTAAAATTCTACATTCCATCCTGTATTAATTTACTTATAATGCAAATTAAGTTACTAATTTAAATTGATTAAAATAACAATTCATACAATTAGTATATTAGATATTAATGTGAAATAACAGGATATTTTTCTTCTTTTTTGTTTTAATTAATTAATAAAGTAATTCGAAATTAGAACATCTTTTATAATTACAGACTATTTTATTTTCATAATTAAATCATACTTCTCATTCATTCAAATCTATTATTTGTATATTTCTATATAATGTCCATTTAACAAATTATGTAACTGTAATATGGTTGCTGTTTATTGAATTTCTATATATAACGTCTCTTTAATCCAAAAAACAAATTAGGTAGATGATCTCACAGCTTTCTGGTTAGAAACAACTTTATTTTGTAAATTGGACTATAAATGCATTTCGGGTTGGTTTAAGTTCCCAACCCCTCTTTAGTGCTGTACAAAAAAACAACAATATAATTAGAGGCCCAACATTACTCAGATATCGCAAAAAAGATTTTTTACATGATAAACCACTTACATATCATATATAGAGATTAATTAAATTTTCTTTTTTCCACAATTATGTCAACTGTTTGAGGGGAAATTGATTTCCTGGAATCATGAACTGCAAGGTAAGCATTGTAAGATTCTCCTCATACTAGATAATTGCCCCCACGTCAATTCAGCTTTTCTGCATAAAGTTAATTTAATCTTTTTTTTAATAAACCAAAGTTTAAAATAGAGCATCTAATATTTTTAATCAAAACATCTTCATTTCCTAAATGTTCTCTCTCCTTTACTCCACCTCTACAATTTAAAATTTGTTAAACTTAACAATATTTACAGTTCTGTCACTCTTCTTCTTTGTCATTAAAAAAGCCAAAGACAAAATCATATTTTCTATGACATTAATAGCAACTTACAATAATTGGCCTAAGCTAAATAAAACAAAAATAATAACAACTGAGTTTGATTTATATTGCATATTTGATTTGTTAAAGACTGAAGTTCAGTTTATATTTTAAAAAATAATACACATATAATTGACTTTTCTGTTATTTTGAACAGTTAGTTTTTAAAATCTTATTTCTAAATTTAATTATACTTCTCTTGCCCTAATTTTGTAGCACTTAGTTTATAAACCCCTTTCTCTCACAAAAAATTAATTTATATATTCTAGTTTTTAATTTAATAATTTCTAAATCTGCATTTAATAGATATACCTAATACAGCAGAACCATAGTGGAATTCAAATAATTTAACAACTTCTTTGCTGCAGTAGTGACTATGTTATGTAGAAAAAGCAATATTTATTTATAAGTTTATGTGAGAGCCTTACAGTATTTTTTCATACCAAAGTGCCCTATGTATTGAAAAAACTATATATGAAATAATAATGGCTGAGCTCATGATGTACTTGAAAAAAAGGCCCTCTTAATAACAGGATAAAGACAGCAAAAAAAAAAAAAAACTCATCAATTCTGTCATTATTGTTCATTAACCAATATTTACCAAAAATAAAATAATTTTTTCATCCCGGCAGGATTCTTAACAAAATTAGGAAGAAGCTTTGCTGATAAATCAATCTAAACTTTTCATTTTTTGAAAAGTTATGTTAAAAACTACAAATAAAATTCATCTGGCATTGAACATTGTATATTGGCTTTGAATATACAAGTACAGTACAGTCAAATACAACAATACCAGTCATAATGACAACTCAACTATAATGACAAAATATTGACAGTCTAGGTAAAGCCATATACTTTAACATTACATTTTATCCCAATGTAACAATATTGAAACTCAATTGACAAAATTTTTCCACATTTTTCAATATTTACATTGATGTTTTAGCCTATTTTAGAATTTAACAGTGTATGTTAAGTTTTTCTTATGAGTTTTGTAATAATTACTGTAGTTTAGTTTCAATAGAAAAATCTTTTGGTGAAAGAATGCATTGACACAGTCCTGCTACTTGGAAACAGGTTACTATGAAACCTCTTGGGTCCACTGGAGTGTTTCTATTGGCTGATAACTTGGTGAGAGAATCAGTTGAAGAAGTTAGATTTTCTCCCTTTAACAGTTAATCATTTTTGCAAATATTCATTACAGTAGATAGTACAGTGCTCAGAAAAGTAGTGTGTTAAAATCTCTCCATTGAAGACAAAGTTTCCATCATAAAACAAATTGAAGGAGATGCAAAAAGTTACAGTTTGTATAGACTTTGGTCTGATCAACTCAACTGTATGCACAAACTAGAAAGACCACAATAAAACACAGAAAGCATTTGATGAATTCAAGAAAGATTGTTGAGAAGGTAAGGAAACCTGTACATGAAGATTTGGATCATGCAACCATAAAGTGGTTCGCAAAGCAGCAGAGCCTGAACATTCCAATTAATGGTTCAATCTTAAATGCTAAAATTTAAAAATTTGCACAGTTGCTGGGAATTGAAAACTTTACTTGCAGCAATGGTTGGACTGATCAATTTAGACATCGTCATAACATTACAGTTGGTAAAGTTTGCAAAGAGTTGGCTGAAGTAAACTTACAGACAACTGACTGGTCTTAGCTTCATGAAGGATTTAATGATTCAGACATTTTTAATGGAGACAAGACTGGATTGTTTTACAGACTTATACATGATAAGACTAAAATTTAAGGGAGAAAACTGTCCTGATGGAAAATTGTCAAAGGAATAAATTGTAGTTCTGATCAATGTTAACAGTCGTTGGCAGTGAGAAAAGAAAATTGATAGTGATAGAAAAATAAAAAAATCTTCCAGTGTTTTAAAAATGTGAAATCTCTTCCTGTGCATTATTTCCTAAACAAAAATGCATTGATGATATGTCAACTGTTTGAGGGGAAATTGATTTCCTGGAATCATGAACTGCAAGGTAAGCATTGTAAGATTCTCCTCATACTAGATAATTGCCCCCACATCTGAAGATAAAACACAAATTGAGAGTAACATTAAATTTGTGTTTCTTCCACTTAACACTACAAGTGTGCTCCAGCCTATGGACCAAGGAGTAATTTGGAAAAGTTAGAATACATAGAAAGTTAATTTTGATACAAGTAATATTAAACCTTGAAAAAACAGAGACCAGAATATAATTTCTCTCCTGGATGCTATAAGATGTTTAGCCATAGCATGAAATCAAGTTATGTTAGAAACAATCAGAAACTGCTTCTGTCACACAAAATTCTTAGACACAGCTGCAAGCTTGGACTCTGAGGAATTTTGAGTGATACAATGAGATCAACACTGAAGTTATATCAAATACAGAGGAAATGCAGCAGTATAGTATAGCAGATGATGACATTATAACTAGTGCAATAAACTACAATGCTGACATCATAATGGAAGTACATGAGAAAGCTAGCCATTATGATGATATGGAAAATGGTGATAACTGTAAAGAGACTGCAAATTTGGAACCAGTTCCTAAACTAAATGAAGTGATTGCCACTTCAAAAATATTGACATGATTCATCAAATTGTCTTCCCAAACAGAAGACATGACATTTGTTACTCTGTCCCATCTCCAGAATAATTTATACATGTATTGGAAAATGCCAAAGACTCAAAGCAAAATTACTGACTTTTTTAAGCATTAAAAGCAACAGATGTGTAATGTATAATGTAATAAAGTGTCAATGCATTAATGCATACAGTTGTCAGTATTTTTACACATTTATCTCAGCCTGAGATAAACATGTAAAATATCAGAGATTCTCAGGTACAGTGAGACCTGGCTATAATGTAACCCCAGTTATAATGACATAAACAAGATGGTCCCTTGAATGTTGTTAGAAAAATTCAACTATATATACAAGTGTATATATATATATAATGATGACAATTTGATTGATAATATTCTCAACATTTAAAATTAACAACAGAATGTTGAGAATTTTATACTGCATTCTGTTCCAAATGATATTATTATACATATAATAAAACTAAAAAATTCCCTTCTCTAATCCCAATATTTCCCAAGAAATCTGAAATCAGAAAATTTCAGAAACCCTAATCAATATGCAAAATTATCCCAAAAATATATTTATTGTCCTGCATTTTCTGAATTCAGAAACATACATGTTTTGTGCCTGGAACCTATCCCTCATATCCATGAGTTAAACAGAAAATGCAGAAAATGTCAGATGTTTGATTACGATAGGTAGTCCAGATAAATCACAATCATAGCATCAATAAGTTCTGTTCACATTTATTGTCTATTGCATAGTGTTTCTCTTTCATTCCTCTCCAATTGGCATCAATCTGTTAAAATGTTGGCAATGTTGACAGTGTTATGCAAATGCTAACTTTTATAATAAATTGCCTAAATGAATATTAAAAGTACAGTTTTAACACTGATTCACCAAAATAAGAATATTTTAGGAAGTAGTTCTATCAAACTGGTCTGAACCAGCTGAATCCTACCAATTAAAAACCAAATAAACCAGAATCACACTATACCAGGGGTCGGCAACCTTTTGAGTCGGAAGAGCCAAAATTATAATTTACAAAATTTCAAAGTTTTTAAAGAGCCACAAAATTTTTTCTTGCCAACAATAAATAGTACTCGCATAAATAAAGTTTTTTGATAAAAAAACTAATCTATTTATTCATAAGAAAAAATATCTATTTATTCATATATAAGTAGTGTTTTTCACAACAAATTAGATAATAGAAACATCCGACGGCGGCGTCATTCGAGAGCTTCCGACGGACTGACGACAGTGACGACGCGTGTCACGTGGGAGGGGTGCGGTGAAAAGTGAGTACAAGTGGCTGAGAGAAAGAATCAGTACCTAATCCTCATTAATCGATTCAGAACGATTTTTAAATTTTTTTTTTGATAAAATAAATATTTGTGTATGGAACTAAAGAATCGCAGCTTCACATTCAAAGAGCCGCATGTGGCTTGCGAGC